AAGGAAAGGGGAAATAAGGAGGGAAGGAGGAAATTTCATTAATACTGACTCTATGATGCTGTTCATGAGTCTGATAAAAACATGGAGCCTAAACAGAAGAAATCAAAATAGCACATAGAGCAAATACCATTAACGTGGTGTAGATGTTTTTCTGTCATAACTTCTGTTAGAGACGATACTTCTCACGTTTATTTTTCTACAAGATGTTTAAATCCCAATTATTTAAATTTTCATGCATAAACTGAGAACACACTAAGAAGAGAAGTAGGTGTAACTACAGACAGATATTCTGGGATTCAAGTCGCATTCTAGACAATCTTTATAATAATTATTCAGGTTAAGGGTGTAGAGGTGTTACTGTGATAATAGATTTACATATTTAAAATATCAATATTATTACTTTTTTTTTGTTTTTTATGCTTCCTTAAAACTCCCAATGCAAGGTAGTTGGTAAAAGCTAGAATTTGTCTTCCCAACAGCAGGTGATAAAAATACCTATCTTCTCTCATTTGCCTTCCATATTCTTTATCTACTTCATCTGATAGTAAAGAATAAGACCCCTAATGAGAGGTCTAAACGTCCCTCATTTTACAACCAGATCTAGGTTTCAGTTTCTTAAGAGCAACAAACATTTACCACAAAGTTAAGCAGAAAGTACAGAGAATTCCTGCATACCTCATGGCTTCACAGGCGCAGGCATGCGTGCACACACACACAATCAGAGTGAGCATTTGCCATAATGGATGAACCTGCACTGACACACTATTAACAAAGACAGTACATGGTTTATGTTAGAGTTCATTTGGAGTATTGTCTTTATCAGACTCGGGGGTTTGCTATAACTGTAAAGGCATGTTTCTATTTCAGTACCACAGAGTCTTTGCCGCTATAGGAACCCCTGAACTCTATTCATTTTTCCCACCCCTGGTAACACTAGTCTTACTGTCTCCAAAACCTTGCCCTTTACAGAATATCACTGTGGTGGATGAATGAGAGCGGTCCCTGTAGGTTCTTCTATTTGAAGGCCTGCTCTCCACTTAGTGAACTATTTGAGAAGGGTTAGGGGTGGCCTTGTTGGAGATGGTATGTCACTGGGGGCAGGCTTCAAGTTTCAAAAGCCCAAAACATAATTGGCCTTCTGCCTTCAACTTGAGGATAAGGATGTAAGTTCTCAGCTACTGCTCCAGTGCCATGCCCGCCTGTCTGCCTCCTGCCGTGCTCCCTTCCCTGATAACTATGGACACATCCTTTAAAACTGGAAGCAAGCCTCCAATCAAATTCTCTTGTTTTATAAGTTGCCTTGGTTATGGTGTCTCTTCACAGCAATAGGAAAGCAAGACAATCGCAATGGCATAGTCTTACCACGCATACTGTAGATGGTTTTCTGCATGTAATAATATCTGCATGTAATATCTTGATTCTTCCCTACTTTACACCAAATACAATTCCATTGTATGAGTTCACACAGTAGTGGTGCGCACCTTTAATTCCAACACTTGAGAGGCCGAGGATTTGAGTTCAGTCTGGTCTACAAAACAAGTTACAGTACAGCCAGAGCTATATAAAAACAAAACAAAAACAACAAAAATTCCATTTAAGGATGTGCCTCTTTGTTTAGTCATTCACCTCAGCAGTTCTCAACCTGTGAGTCATGACCCTTTTTTTTGGAGGGGGGGTCACATATCAGATATTCTACATACCAAATTATTCATGATTAGTTATGAAGTAGCAAAGAAATAGTTTTATGGTTGGTGGGTCACCACAACATGAGGAACTGTATAACGGGCCATATCCTTAGGAAGGCTGAGAGTCACTTCTGGTTTACCTGCTGAAACAAATTTTGGTGGCATTCTGTTTGTAAACTGTGAATATGGCTGCTGTAAATATAGTGTCCAGGCTTTGCGTGAAGTTAAGTTTACACTTTATTTGGGCAACAGAACAAGGAAAGATTGCCTTTATCATATGAGGAAAATGTTATTTTGTACAAAATAAGACAAAGTGCTAACCTGTCTTCCAAGAGGCTACACCACTGTGTTAGCCCCAGCAGAGAACGAGCATTGTTTCTCCGCAGCCCTGATGGTAGTCGGCGTTGTGGCTTTGCTTGGGGCCGTTCTAACAGATGTATGGTGGGTATCCCACTACTTCTATATTCCCTTTAATTCTGAGAAATGGGTAAGCAAATAATGCTTTCTACTGGTAAAAACTACATACATTTAGCTAAAAACCTAAGGATATATAACATTTTTCTAATTAAATGCCAATTGCCAGTGTGCTTTATTAGAGGAAATCTCTAAATTTTGGTAACCTTATTAGTTACCTGAAACTCATTGTTACCAGTTTCCACAAAGTCCTCGGATATGAGAATATAAGTGAAAGCCAGGATTTTTCTTCTATTTATGATAGTTTCATGTTGAAACAAGATCCTAACTAGTATTATCAATAAAAACCTGGAGTCAGATATTGGGGCAAAAGCTGAAAGATCAGAGAAGCAAAGAATGACCAAAGTCACTTCTTACCTCTCTGCAACCTCAGACCAAGAAGGGGCCAAGATCCTGTCTATGCCCCACCTTACCACTTTCTGTCTCCTGTCTGTACAGACCTCCAGACCTAGCAGCTAGCTCTATCCTCTGATCTCCAAGCAAGTTTTATTGTCAAAACACAAAATGCCACACAACGTCATATAGTATATTTTTACATATCTTGTCATATTTCTTGTCCCCCTTCTTTCTTGATCCTCTACTTTTTTAACCCACCCAATGTCGTGTTCGTTCTTTCTCTTAAAAAGAAAAACACCCTCAAAAGAAAGGTATAGTCCAAATTGTTGGCCATCTACTCCTGTGGACCAGGTCTGTCTTAGAGTATGGCTCACACATCCAATTTCACTCCACTGGAAAAGCTGAGTTTCCCTTTCCCAAGAGCTGTCATTTGCAAACAGGGTGGGACTTTGTGTCTATGTCCCCCTCCTTCTTGCTTAGACTTGAAAGACCAACTTTAAATTTTCTATCAACAATAGCGAAAAGAACGCAGAACATAACATATCTTGGCTTTATAAACAAGTTAGATGCCATTGAAATCATAAAAGATTTCTACTGTCTAGAACCTGATTTTGTTTTGAGATGGGGTCTATATAGCCTATGCTACCTCAGATTCCAAAGCCTTCTGCTACAGCCTCTTCACTGACGAAATTAGTGTCCAGTGCCTTAAACACAGCAAAAAAAGGGGGCTTCTTTGGTGTTCTCATCAGTCTGCACTTTTTGCAGAGGATGGAGGTTAAGACAGAACCACAAATGGTCAGCGTGCAGAGTTAAGTGACTGTGAAGTGCCCATCCCCAAATGGGACATTTATAGTGGAATCCCTAAACCAAGGCCAAGGGAGTATCACTGAAGATGGGGGGCAGAGAAACTGAAACAGCCAGGGGAATGGGGAGACGGGTGTAACACCCATCACCCAGAAGCACATCACTGCTCCAGTCAACATTCCAGCATGGATGGGGTAAAGGCTTCCGAATTGGTTTCCCATGTTCAAGAGCTCAGGCCTACACACAAGGACATTTGAGCTACACAAATACTCACGAATACACAAACACTTAATAGAATAACAGGACATGAATGTGATTTGAGCGGGGAATGTCGGGGGAACACGAGAGGTGTTGGGAGTGGGCAGGGAAGAGTGAATACGATCAAAAATGCATTTGATCATGTATGAAAATCTCAAAACCAAAGATGCAACTCCCTTAAGGAATCCGATTCCTAAAGATTTGCATGGGTGTCACACGGCTTTAATCCCGGCACTCGGGAGACAGACAGATCTCTTTGAGTTCGAGGCCAGCCTGGGCTACACAAGAGAGTACCTGGACAGGCTCCAAAGCTACACAGAAAAATCCTGTCTCAAAAAACAAAACAAACAAATATTTTTTTTTTTTAAAGGCACCGCGAGAGGGTTTCTGTTTTGTTCATTTCTAAGGCTCCAGATTACAGGGCTGCAGCCGGCGTAGAGCACCAGCACGGAACTTGAAATGCATCCAGAACCTTCGTTTCCTAAAAAGCGAGATCACAGTCAACGGAGACCACCTTTCCCCAAGAATTATAGCACCCACCCAGGCTCCAAGGAGCCGAGACGACACTGCTCGCGTCTGCACCCCCAGGCCCCCTCAAGCCGGCCCACAGCGCTCCCTCCTCTCCGCTTCGGAGCTCCGGGAAGGGGCCAGAGGCAGATGGAGCAGAGACCTGCGCCTGGCTTTGCCGCACCGGCAACAGCTTGACGGCGAGAGCCGCACAACCGCTCACTAACGGAATGGCGACCAAGCCCTAGCAGCGCGGCGCCGCGGCCGGAAGTGACGTCGCGGGTGGCGCGCGGGGCCGCCCCACGGGAGAGGCGGGCAGAAGGGGGGGTTGCTGGGAGGCGGGGGGCGGGGCGCGGCCGCGGCTCCGTTTCCGGTGGCTGCTTGCGCTCGCTCACCCCAGCTGCAGCCACTCTCTCCCGTGGCTGCTTCCTCCATCCTGGTATTTTTTGGAGCCTCCATCCTGGTTCTTCCAAAGTGCCCGGACCCAAAACAGGAAGTAAGTGCGGTGGAACCTACAGGTCCGGGCCTCTGGCGCAGCCGCTCCGCCCAGTGAGACCGGGCCGGCCCCTTCGCAGGCCTTGGCTGCCGCCGGCCGGGCGCCGCGGGCGGGGTCGGAGCTCGGCCTTCGCCCAATGGCCCCGGCGGCACGCCGCGCCCGCCACCTCCTTCGCCGGCCCGTGCGGGCGCTGGCGGTCGGGACCGCCGGGCAGGCGCCCGGGCGCCGCGGCGAGCCGGCGGCGGCGGAAAATGGCGGCGGGCTAGAGGAACCAAATGGCGCCGGGACCCCTGGGGGTGGGCCCGAGCCGCAGCGGACGGCGCCGGGCGCCCGCGGGAGTCTACGTGTGAGGCCGCGGAGCTTCAAGCCTGGCTCAGCTGGGTCCGCCGGCGGGGAGGCCCCCTGGGCGGCCTGGGCGTGGGTGGGGTTGGCCGTGGGGGCGGGGGTCGCCCGAGCCCACTCGTGGCCCTGGGGCTCGGTTAGCCCGTGTGGCTCTCGCCAGTTGTAGGGCTCGACTGTAATCCGCGAGGGAGTCGTGGGTACTGGCCGGACCTTCTCTGTAAAGACCGCGGGACGTGGCCTGGGGTACGGGGGGAACCCTACCTAGCCCAGCCGAGAAGTCATTGACCAGATCGTGTCGAGCAAGCCTTAGGGGTAAAGCCTGTTTTAGGAATTTTTTTTTTTTTTTTTTGGTCTTGAGCATCTTCTCGGGAACCTTACAGTTTAACTCCGAGAGAAGTGGTCCAGTGCCATCCTGTGCTGTTGAATGATACAGCATATGTTTTCGTAGTAAAAGACTCCGTGTAGCTAAGGAAAGGGTGAGAAATCCACTTCTCCCTTTCCAAAGCTGAATTTTCGCGATTGCTTTTGTCAGATCTTGTACCCCTTTCTGACAGCAAGACTTCCCATTTGAGACTTTATAGAAAGAAAAAAGCATTTCAGTACAGTTTGTAATATTTCATGTCTTAAGATAGATACAGTGCAATTTGAGACTTTTAATTAGAACTGGTTTTATTTTGTAATTAAGTTTTGCCTTTAAGGCTGCAAATCAAGGAAGAAGAACCTTTGATTATGTTGAAAGTTTTCTAAATATAAAGTCCATTTTCTTTTTCTTGTACTTAAGATTTCTTTAAGCTAGTTTCAAATGACTACTATTGTAACATTTAAGACAGCAACTATAATAACAAAACAAAGTATGATTTTACTGTGATAAACTAGTGATAAATTACGTATATTTGGCTAAGATTAGAAAATTTTTTAATTGCACTTAAAAAAATTTTACACTTACAAGTTGGTGAGAGGCTAACAGTACCACTCCACTCCAGTCAGGAGTTACATATAACAGTTTAGTACTATATGGAAAAAATTGTTACGGTTAGGAGGGTCTTTATGATGATTTTATCCCATTACTTTACCTCTTTCCCCAGATGTTTTTGTGTACCACCAAACAAGCTAATGTTCTTCATTATTTTACTTGATAGGCTTGTCACAAAGTATTGGGGGAATTATCTAGAAATTCTACTACCTGTTCTGAATCTGTTTTGTTGATTGCCATTGAGATAAATAGTAGAGCCACCTGCTGCTTTTAGAAAAAAAAATGTTACTTTTTTTCCCTTTGTCTTCAGCATTTATTCAGAAAGTTCTGAGCCTTGCATGCTTCTTAAGAATTTAAATCTGTATCTTTAGCAGTTTAGAGACTACATACAGCATTAATCTTTTTCTCTGAGTATTCAGGTTTTAATATTTTTAAATGAGGATATCAAAGTTTGGGGTTTACAGTTTGAGCCTGACCGTAAAATGTGTCAGGGAAATAGTTCCTAATGTCCTCCTGTGTTTCCTTTTTTAAAGTTGTGCTTGCCTGTGCCATTCTGTGACATTCTGTGTCTGTCCCTAACAAAGGACTTTGCTTTGTGTTTATTAAAGAGCACAGAAAATGTGGTATAAGGGAAAGAATGAAGGATACCTTTTTATAGAAACCGTTTCACAAGGGAAGAAGTTGCTTTACTGACCCAGAATAACAAAACCAAACTTTGTTATCAAACTATATCTACGTTTAGCATCTAACATTTATGGTGACTATTTTTGTTTAGGGTTAGTTTTGACCTGTTGATTGTTTTCAGCAGATTATTATCACAGCATACACAAATTTTTCTGGGTCAGGGGCATGGACAAGTGCCTAATTCAAGATTAAAGTTATGCATTTAGTTTAGGTTGTAAAAGCTAATCGCATGGTTAATCCAAGGCTTCATAAAGTTGGTTACTTTGTTCTCATAAAGGCAGGATTAAGCAGACTGAGCACACAGTAGGACAACAGACTAAGTACATAGTCTTAAATGATCTCAGGGCATGTTATTAGCTTGGCATCAAGGTCTGGCAGAAGTTTAGTCTCTTCAAAGCCTGGATATTTTCAGAAAGCTCCACAGATTTTGTCTTAGTGTTTTGATGCAGTGACTTAAATTAACATCTCTGAGGATACATACCTAACAAAAAACAAACATCTCTAAGTATGTATATCTTGACTGTAGATATTAGACTAAGGATAGAGCCTGGTGCTTTTGAAAGTATTAGAGAACTGGGTGACTTACTTGAAGCTTTTATCTGTGTTGCAAACACATCAAAGCTTTAGATAAGCATTGGTGTTGGGGAGGGTTCAGTGGTGTCCCACCTTAGCCCACAGATCAGCATCTACTCCACGTAACTGAACTTCACATAGAGCCTTTGTAGAGGCCATCTGCTTAGTACTGCCTTCCTCAGTCTGGGTTCTCATTTTACTGTGATTACATTCTCTTTCTGCCATAGGTGTTAGAGTGTTCTCTGCTTGAAAAGACTGGGAATTCATAAACATAAATGCTATGCAGTTTAGCAAAGGTAGTCTGTAACTAAGCCAAATGCTTACTCTGAAGCCCAGAGGCACGTGAAGTTGTTGTCCTGTCTCCGTTTATCTTAATGGTGGTTTTTGTTTTGTGAAGAGAATTCTTGTAATAAAAATTAATAAAATCACAAGGTTTGTTTGCTTTGATACCATAAAGGTAAATTGGTTCAGTTTCAATAAAAGGAACCCATTGTGTCTGCATTTTTCAAGTTTATGGGGAGGTAGCCCAGTCCATGATTATCCAGAAAGAAGCTGTCAAGAAGAAGCATATTGGAAGGGCCTGTGTAAACTTCCTACATCATCTTTATTAAAGGATCGTTTTGGTTGTGTATTCAGTCAGGCCACTCCTTCCAGCCTTAGTGTCTAGAGCTACTCTTCCCTCACTGTAAGGTTTTGTGCAGAGGAAATGTATATTAGGTCTATTCGCTGCCTGATGTGTTTTAGTATTTGTTAAGAAAATGTGATTTTTCAATAAACTAAAGAACTTGGTGATAATTTGTATTTAAAAATCAGATGGTGTTTTGAAAGGATACTATCTTACAGTGAAACTAAACACATAAGCTCTTAGATCAGATAGGCAGTACAGTTTTATTGCCAGGTATGAAATCTTGACCCTCCAGATGATCTGTATTACCATGTAATTCACTTTATTCAATACAGCATCATTGATAATTGAAGCATTACATTAAACTCCATTAACAAATTTACTGATACTTTATGATGTGTAGTATTTGTTTACTATCTTTTTGTTGGTTTTGTTTTTCAAAGCTGTTTCTCTGTATAACCATCCTGACTGTCCTGGAACTCGCTCTGTAGATTAGGCTGGTTCCAACCTCACAGAGATCACCTGCCTCTGCTTCCAGAGTACTAGGATTAAAGACATACACCACCACCATCTGGCTGTTTACCATTGTTTAGTGAAGCCGTTAATCATGTACCTTAATTTAATACTCTTTATCTTAATCTACTTTACAAACTTTCCCATGAAGTTACAAAAAAAAAGTGTTCCCAGGGGTTCAGAGCTGTTACTGCTAGCAGGGGATCTTTTGCTCTGCCTGCATATGAGTCCTGGGTAGGCAAGGAGACTCTTCCATTGCCAGCAATGCTGGTCCTGGAGTCACCAAGACCTAGGGTCTGGGCTGACACACCACATGTATAACAGTTATGAGCCCCGAACAATATAGTTCTATTGCTCCAGGCTTTTATTTTAACACAAGACTGAAGCTCTACTGGGTCATCAGGTTAGAAGTTCATTGCTCCTGGCATTAACTATCAGTAGCCCCAGAACAGAGCAGCTTTTGTAATCTGTAGGTTTGGGCAGCCTTAAACGGCAGAGGCAGGTGATGCTCTTAATAGTAGAGCTCACTTACAGATTTTGGTTACTGAGATCTTTGACTAGAGCAAAGATGAATGAGATCTTCATCCTGATGACAGTGACTACTAGTGTTGACAGTTCTCAATGCCCAGAAAGTTTGAGACCCTTAGCAGCTTCCTGGGACTCTCCTCATGTCTTCATGGCCCTTGGTGGCTCTCATTTCTGCTCCCTGTTATTTCTGTCATTAACTCTGGAACCCTTCAGGTCTCCTTACTTCTGACTCCACTGTGCCTGGACTTTTCCCTTTTTTGTGTGTAACCAACTGAGCTTGTCCTAATTAACATAAAAAGTAAGAGAAGGACACTGGAGAAGCATTTTATTGGACCTAATGATTCATACAGGTGGTAGCAAAGGAGCCCATGCAAACACAGAAATGTCTGTGCTAGGCAGGGCAAAGCCCCTTATACAAATGACGGAACTCTGCTGATAGCCAGAACAGGCCTCTAGCTGGACCACCAGGGGAGGTGCTCCCCTTGTGGCCTGGATAGGAACGCTGTGGGGACACGGGGAGTTCATCAAAGCTTGTGATGGCCAAAAGTTTGGAGCTTGTACTTGAGCAAGCAGGTTGGTTTCTGAAAGCACCTATCTGTAGAATGTTGAAGCGGTTGGTGCCATAACTCATTTAGCTGGATATGTGGTTGGCAGGCCTTTGCTCCGAGTAATAGGGGCACTAGAAGACAGGTCTAACATTTGTCTAATTGGAGAGTCAAATTGTTCCCACTGCCTACATCTTGAGTTAGTTGAAGGAAAAATAACCATTGAAAAGGATGCTTACAGTGTACATTTACCCTTACAATTAATGGTGTTTCACAATGCTTAACTCTTAACCCTATGCCCCAAGGCGAGGTGCTGCCATCTGATTCACTTCAGAACCATTTCCAAAGCATTCTTCAAGTGCAGAGTGTTACAGTCAGTACTCCTGAAGATGTTACTCTTGCCATAATTTGGTGAAGGAGGTGGCTGGCTACTTTTTGCCCTTATCTAAAGAGTCTGCCTGAGGCTAAAGTGAAGAGTTTAGGATTGATTGCTTGGAAGAAATTGTAGTACGAATTATAAAAACCCAGAGACATACTGGGGTTCAAGCTGAAGATCAGAAAAGCAAAATAGCCAGCCATTGAGATTTCTTACCTCTACCAAGGCTCGGACAATGGGGCAATCCTGCAATGCTCTCCACCAACCTCAGATTCACACACTACTGAGTTCCCTGTCTCTTCCCATTTATATTCTTCTCTGCCCAGCTTTATAGCTCCTGTCTCCAGCTCTCTAGTGCTGGGATTAAAGATGTGTGATCCCTAGTGCTGGGTGCACCTTTCTGTGAGCTCTGTTCCTCTTTTAGACAGATTAAATCTTGTATAACCCAGGGTGGCTTTGAACACACAGAGATCTACCTGCCTTTGTCTTCTAAATCCAAGGATTAAAGGTGTGTGGCACCATTCCCTGGCCTGTATGGCTTTGCCCTCGATCTTCTATTTATTAAAACACAATATACCGCTGTAAGAAATCTCAAGACAGCCTAGTATAGACTTCTGGATACTGGTGGTAACTATGATGAAGATAAAGAGAAGGAGAGAGCCGAACAAGGAAAAATACTTGAGAAAAAGGACACCAAGATGTGGGATGGAGCTAAATCCTCTGTTTGAGGAGGGAATTGGATTAAGAGATGTTATAAAGGGAGTGGTGATCTCAAGGCAAGATCTCAGCCCAGCTTAGTTTCCAATTTGTGAAAAGGGACTGAAGAAAAGCTTGGGAGCTAAGTGTGCTAGGGCACACCTTTAATCCCAGTTCTAGGAAGGCAGTTTGAGGTCTTTTTTGTCTACAGAGCAAGTTTCAGGACAAGCAAGCCTAGGTGAAAGACAGCTGGTGAAGATGTAATTGAACAAGCATGCCATGTTCCAACCCCAGCCAGCAGCAGATCTTGACAGCTTCAGCCACTTGGTTCTGATTTTAGAGTTAAGGATAAGAGGAAGGAGTTAGAAAATAAAGCCCTGAGGCCAGGCATGTGTCAGGGTGTCTCTGAAAGGTGCAGCCTGGATTGCCTTGGACCCCAAGATATTAAGTCAAACATGGGTTACCTGTCGAGGAGAGCTGCTAGCAGGGAATGGAACCAGCCCAGAGAAGGAAGTGTGTTAGAGTCAATAAAGCTTAACAGAGCTGGAAGAGTTGGAGATCTAAAGAACATTTTACACCAGACACGGGGCTGCAGAGTTGGGAGTTTACTTGGCTGGATTTTGGTCTTGCTTTTCACCAGTATTTCTTCACTGTGCTCCCTTCCTTGTGTTTCAGAATGGTAATACGTATCCTGTGCCATTGTATGATTGAAGTATATGATCTGCTTCTTGGTTTTGATCTTTATAGGGGAATTACAGTTAAGAGATTGCCGTGTGTCTCAAAAGAGACTTTGGACTTTGAAACAAGTTTGAGATTGGGATAGCCTATGGGGATTTTTGAAGTTGGATTGAATGCATTTTTGCATTGTAATATATCAATAAGCATTTGGGGCCACGAAGTGGAATGTAGTGGTTAGAAAAAAAAATGACTCCCAAAGGTAGTGGTACTATTAGGAGGGGTGGCCTTGTTGGAGGAAGTGTGTCACTGTGGGGACAGGCTTTGAGGTCTCTTTTGCTCACACTTACATCAAGTGTTATTGTCAGTCAACTTCCTGTCGCCTGCAGGATGTAAGACTCAGTTATTTCTCCAGTACCACATCTGCCTGCGTGCCGCCATGTTCCCACCATGATGGTAATGCATTGAACCTCTGAAACCGTGAGCTAGCCACCCCGATTATATGTGTTCTTCATAAGAGTTGCCATGGTCATGGTGTCTTTTCACAACAATAGAAACCAAACTAAGACACGGATATGTGTGTGCGTGTATGTAAACTAAAAATCTGGAAGGTAATTATTAAAATGTTAAAGAGAAGTGGATGATTGTTAATACTATATTGATTCAGGAAATCGCAAAAATTAAATACGTTCTTGCTGCATTAAGTTACAACTCTCTGTGGTGTTCTGTATTTCCCATTTTAAGAATATCCTCTTAGTGAGTTTTCCTATGCCATATAACTGCACTCCATTTTCCAGTTTTGAAGCTAAACAATCTCTGTCATGTAGGGTCAGACAGACTATGTTGCCTCCAGCTTCTCATGATCACCACCAGTAGTGTGTGCTTAGATAGAGTTGACTTCTAAAATAGGAAGAAATGACATTTTTTTTGATATTTTTTTCCTTTTTCTTTTAAGATTCTTGACACTTAACTGCCCCAAAATATATACCCGATGGACATGTGACCCTCAGAACTTTAGGTCAATACTGAAATGAAGAGGAGCATGAGCAACTTAATTCTTTTTTCATTTTGACTTTAGAAATCAAATGTTACTTTGTCGTACTTCTCCCTTCTTGTTCCACCAGGTTATTGTAGCCTAATAAGTCGGGTTACCTTGGGTCAGCATGGTGACAGAAACATGCCAGTACTAGGAAGGCAGAGCCAGGGCAGTCTGGGCTCCATCATGAGACCCTGCTACGTGCCTCCCTCCCCCAGTCATCTCTATTTGGAACTATAAGTGAAAGGTTTGTCTTTCAAATGCGAGCATATGGAAGAATGATTATAAATGCTTTATACCATTTACGGGTTCTTTTTTCTTGGGTTCATTAAGGTATTTGTTGTTTCAAGCTAATCCATCAATTGATGGGAATATAGCAGAATGTCAGTTTGCCAGTTAAAATGTTGTCCGTCTTTCCTTCATCGTGCTCTTTCATTTTTAATTGTTATAAAAGTGAGACCACCGATGATTTTGTAAGGGTCAGAGCAGGTTCCAAGTAGTGTTGGTGTGAAAGGGTTCCAATGTCAAACATGATTTTTCGTCTAATGAGTTTGAATAAAAGCACTAAATGACTAGTTAGTTTGATTTATTCATCAACATTTGTCTTTGTAAAGCCATAAATAATCTTCTAACACTGTGTTGAGCCCACTTCTTCTCCTATTCTCTTTATCCTCAAAGTGAGTCTTGTCTTCTGCATTTTGGTTTCTCTGTTTGCCATATGCTCCCAGTCCACTGAAATTACTTGTTAAGGTCATGCGTGTTCTCCATATTGCCAGACCAAATAAATGTCATCTTACTGACAGTTAATCATTTTAATGCCCATTGGGCATGTCTCAGTTTTCCTTCTGTATCACCAGCTAGTCCTCAGTCTCCTCTGTTTTTCTTCCTGTTTGCTATTTTTTTTTAAAGATTGATTTATTTTATGAGTCTTTTCCTGCATGTATGTCTGTATACTACTAGGCCAATAGAAAGAGCTGGATCCTAGATCTGATTACAGATGGTTGTGAGGCGCCATGTGGTTGCTGGGAACTGAACCCAGGTCCTCTCGAAGAGCATCAGATGCTCTTCACCTAAGCCAGCACTTTGTCTGCCTCTTGACCTCCATAGTAAGGGTGCTCTCGAATTAGGATCTCAGCCTTGTTCTCCAATTTCTTGGTGTCTTTAAAAACAACTTGCATACCTATTTTTAAGATAAAATTGGGTATTTTAGAGATGTGAATAAGTCATTATGAAAGAGCATGTGAGCTGGAAAATGTTAGTTTTTCATAGGACATAAGTTTGCGCGATGGTTCCAAGGTCTGCCATAACCACTGTCCACCTCAGTCTGTGTTTTCAGAGGACACCTGACTGGGGAGTGACAGCTTGGGTTGAGAAACTTCCTGTGAGCCTTACATTATCGCGCTGGACTGGTTTTGAAGCTGACTTCCATAAAATGTACTCAGAAGAAAGTTGTGCTTCTGTTTGACTCCTCAGGGTCAGGCATCGGAGGTCTTTGTTTCCAGTGCCCAGACACTACATGTTCTTGTTCGTATTAAGCCTTTTGTGATGCTGTACTGTTTCAGAGTGCTGCAGATGCACAGGCATGGAGGAGAAGCAGTCTGGATGACCTGGGAGTGATGCTGCTGGCCAGAGCACGGAGACGTGATTCTATGGGAAGGGCTGTAGCTAATCCATCCGTGGTCTAGGTAAGCCTGCTTTACTGCGAAAACCCACCCAGTGGTTAGCCATGCTGCCTCATGATTCCCATTCTTCTTTATCTTGAAAAGTGTGTTCTTTTGTATAGTACACCCATACTACTCATTGGATCTTTACCATGTAAATATGAATGTAGTTGTCTGTGTCGCCAAAGTATTTTTTACCAAATGCTTGTTTAAATAGTAACCGGTGTGTAAGTGGACTAATACCTATATCAAATACTGAATGATTAATTAAACACATAAGGCTTTTGTCTATATTAATTGGTAAAGGTATGTGAGAAAAACACTTTTGAGACACAAACTGATTTGTAAAATGCTAAAGATGTCAACCATGTCATTGGTAGCAGTATATTTATCCAGCCACAAGATAGTGACTGTGTTCTAATACTCCAATTCTTCAGTCTGTGATAAATATAAAGCAGCAAGTAAGGACACTTTACACACATCAAAAAAAAAAAAAAAAAAAAAGCTCGGGGGTGGTGATGCCTTTGATCCCAATACTTGAGAGGCAGAGGCAGGCAGGTCTTTTGTGAGTATGAGATCAGCCTGGTCTACAGCGAAAATTCCAGGAAAGCCCGGGCTGTACACAAGAAACCCTGTCTCAACAAACAAAAACAAAAAAGTAGGTCCCAACCCCATTACTACTAACTACAGAAATGTTTGGTTGGTGTTCTTATTTTTCAGGTAACGGCTTAAATACTCATAATAGGGTCTTACGAATAATGATTATTAGATCAAGATGGAAGTTTTGCTTAATTTGCTAAAGATAGCAGATTTGGAATCTAGTTCAGTGGCAGATCATTGGCCGAATATAAATAGGAAGGTCTGGGTTCAATCACTATGGTGTCCTCCTTAACAAACACAAGATTCAGATGGCAGAAAGCTTGTGAGAACATAGTACAAAAGCTACCGGTAAAAATATTAAAAATTGCTAAGAGTTCTGCTGATTAACAGCCTCAACTTTTTTTTTTTTTTTTTTTTTGGCTGTAGTAAAAAAATAACTGTAAAAGCGAAGAAAGGGAAAAAAATAACTGTAAAAGCAAAGAAAGGGTATTGCTGCAACGAAATCGATTTGAAGGGCTTTTTGCCTGAAGTCAGAGTGTGTGACATCTGGTCACATGCATCCGCATTCTGTCTTAAGTGGGAAGAGAGAAACACCATAGGCTGCTGAGCACCTTTCTCTCCTCTTAGTCTGAGCCCCTGCCCATGGGGTTACGTCAGTTTTCCCAACTCCTTATAGCCATGCCTACAGGCTTCTCTGTGGCGGTTCTAAATTTCAAGGTTAGTCATCACAGACAGTTAATATTGTAAGAAAGTTGTTGGGAGTTAATCTGGGTTGGTCAGATTCTTGTAGGTTATTGAACCTTGTTCTAAATAGTGGTTATTGAAAGGTGGTTTCTGAAATCTGAACTCCTTTGCAGTTTCTTATGAAGACTAAGCAGATACCTAGATCGATTTCATGTACTGTCTGGAAAGATTGTTTTATTTTAAGTCCTTAAGTAGCCTCTTGTCATGCAGATTTGAGTATGAGCACAGTTGAAGAGGATTCTGACACAGTAACAGTAGAAACTGTGAACTCTGTGACGTTTACTCAGGACACAGACGGGAACCTCATTCTTCATTGCCCTCAGAACGGTAGGAGACTTTGCTGGCTATAATTGAAACTGGGGTGTCTCAATTCCATTGTCTGTCACCTACACACATAGTTCTGGTATCTCTGGATTATACATTAATCATTTATATGTTGTGTTTTATAAATACCTTAATTTTTTTTATTCTAGTAGCCATTTTTACATGGGATGTAAGTCTCTGAAGATAGTGGAACAGCTATAATACATTTTTATATCATTTGTTACCAGAGGTATATTTGACACATTAGAAAGAACACTGAGAAGTAGTTCTGCGAGTGATTGATGCTGATATAGGAAACAGGATTTTATGTGACTGATTAAGATTTGTATAATCCTTCTGGTGAATTAAGATTCAAAAGTCAGTGAAACATGAATTTTGTACATGTCTGTGTGTCTGTTCATTCTTTACTAATCTACTTTCTGTCTTATTACTCTGTAGTCTATTATTTCACTCAGTCATTTTAGCTATCATCTACTATTTTGATAGTTCATATTTCTGTCTTTATAACTAAATTTTACATGTCCCAAGCAGTTCTTTCCACACACTTCCCAGACTGCACATTACTTCTTACTTACAGTCTGGTCGTGGTTCAGAATGCGCTACTATGCTGTTAGTATGCTGCTGTAAACTTGGTTTATCCCTGTTGTGGGCCCCCCTTTGTTAGATCTGATTCTCTTTCTCATCTGCCTAAGTCTGGCCTTTTGTCCAGTTTTTCCTTTTCTTAGTGCTGTTTTGAAAGCTTACAATGATTTCTTTAGAACATAGTTTGGGCACTTTTGCTACTTACTTCATTTTCTTCCACTAGCCTTCTCTCCTGCCACAGTTGTCCCTGGTCATGTGATTATGTCCTAATAGTTCACTGTTTTATTTTCTTAGCATCTTTTGATATCTTCAGTTCCAGTTCCACTGCACTTTGTGCTACTGCCAGGAGAAGCAAACATGCTTCCTTGCTTTCTTTCTGTTCTTTCAAGTTCATGATGCCTCCTCAAGAACCCTCGCTTCACTTTCATTCGAAATGTATTCCTCTGTGCTCTCGTGGCCTCTCTATTCCAGTGTCACAGCTCTGAGTACCCCGTTTTTAAATTGTTCACTAGATGCTACCACCCCGTAACTTCCTGATAGGGTATCCTTTCTTCATGGGGTACCCTTCCTTCATAGAGTATCCGTCCTTCATAGACTATCCTTTTTTCATAGGGTATCCTTCCTTCATAGAGTGAGTATCCTTCCTTCATAGAGAGAGTATCCTTCCTTCATAGAGTATCCTTCCTTCATAGAGTATCCTTCCTTCATAGAGTACCCTTTCTTCATAGAGTACCCTTCCTTCATAGAGTATCCTTTCTTCATAGAGAGAGTATTCTTTCTTCATAAAGTAAGTATCCTTCCTTCATGGGGTATCCTTTCTTCATAGAGAGAGTATCCTTCCTTCATAGAGTATCCTTCCTTCATAGAGTGAGTACCCTTTCTTCATAGAGTACCCTTCCTTCACAGGGTAGCCTTCCTTCATAGAGTACCCTTCCTTCATAGAGTACCCTTCCTTCACGGGGTAGCCTTCCTTCACGGCGTAGCCTTCCTTTATGAAGTATCCTTCTTACATAGGGTATCCTTCATTTTCCTGTTCCAGGCACTTAGACGTTAGGCATTTAGTAAATATTTGAATGAACCCAAACCCAGTCCTTCTCTTTGTGTGTTAAGTCTTCGGAAAACCAAGTTAGAAGGTGGCACTTTGTCCTTCACAAGAGCAGGGACTGGGTACTACTGTAAGCAAGGAGAAAGCGACGATCTTTGAGTCCTTGTGTAGCTAAGTGAATTTAAGTGAGCCGGTGGATAGGATAGAAGGATTTTAGTAGATAAGAAAATTGCTGCAGAGATTTCTATACTAAGTACAGATTTTGTCTATTTGAGGTTTCTGAGCATTTTGTCTGGTTTCTTTTCCCCTTCCGCTAGACCCCGATGAAATAGACTCAGAAGATAGTACTGAACCTCCGCAGAAGAGGCTCTGTCTGTCCTCTGAGGATGACCAGAGCATTGACGACTCTACGCCTTGCATATCAGTTGTTGCACTCCCACGTAAGTCTGCTAATAACAGAGGTACCTTCTGAATTAGATATTAACTTGCACCAGTCAGTTGGCATCTCTAGGGAGACTTGAACTCTACTTAGTCAAAAAAAATCTATTTTTAAACAAATGCTTAAAGAGTGTTCATTATATACCAACCGCTAAGTAGATGCCTTTACCTATTGTCCAATCTTTTCAACACTTCTTTCCTCTCAACCTGCTGCTGTAGGCTTTATAATGAGCCTTTTAAAGAAATAATTTTACGGAGTATTCTGTCTTAACTATCCTGAGAGTCTCTTCATTTTTAAACGGCCATGAATATGTATGTTTCCCTGCTTTGTTCAAGAGTATAAGGTGTTTTAAACGGCATCTTCCCCCAGCCATCATGCTGTACAACAGATACTCTTACCATTCACTCACACATGGGGATGCAGAAAGCGAGGCTCAGAGAGAGCACGGTCAGACATTTGCAGATAGTCTGCTTCCTCTAGCACATGCTTTAGCCTCTTGCCCACCTGCACAGAAGTTTGGTAGGTACCTCATTTACTTAATCCTAGTGTGGTTTAGTATGGTTAGAGTCTTAACAGCCTTTAAGGCAGGCTATATTCCAGACGGAGTGCCATTGGCAGAGGCATACCAGCAACAGCACTAGATCATGTTTCTGATTTGCCTAGGAAAGAATCGGAGTCCTGTCCCTATAAAGCCAGAGCGATGCCTTCATCTGTTGATGCCACTTTTAACACAAATTGCCATTATTGAGATTTCTGATTTTACATATCAGCATCAAATGAAGTATCTTTACCTAGATTTAAATTAAGACTAGGTTTTAGCATGGAAAATTATATCTTAGCAAGTTGTATGCACAGAGCTAATCATTTCTTGAATTGAACAGAAAATAAATCATTTTATTTCAGTTTACTATGGATTAAAAAACTGTTAAGGCTAGTATTAGTTTTTAAGTATAACATGACTAAAATTTGGAACTAAATGAAGTTTCTTCCTGTCGATTCGTGTTTTTAAATAGCTCCTACTGTGTCTGTCACTGGATTTTAAAGCTTAGTTGGCCTATCTACACAGATACAATCCTATGTGGATATTTTATAAGGCAAAGTTTTTGAACAATCTTTTGTGCGAAATTATGACTAGTTAGTTCATTATTTAAATACTTTGTTCATAATCATAAGTTCACTCTGTACTTGGCACTGTGTTCCATTTTTGTGATATTACGTCTTTGTTCATCACCTGATAAACATGGAGATGTTGACACTATCATGCATGTGATACTCAATTTGTTCCTCTCATGGAACATAATTGGGAGTCTAATAGGAGAACTTAATAAGCTGGTCTCTGAGTATATGTTCTCCATATTTGTAAGAATCGTTGATAAAGTTAATTTAGGAAGGTTTCTCTTTAAAAGAAAAATAGTAAGAGCTACAGTAAAGTCACAAAGTTTAGCCATTGGCCCCTCAGCCTTTGGCTCTGAGAGTAGCTAAGCTGCCTGTCCTAAGAAGCTGAGGCACAAAAGCAGCCAGCTGGTCCTACCCACCATCCCAGAAAGCAAGCAGGTCGCCCCCTGTAGTTTTGTGAAGGTAACTGTAGTTTGTATACAATGATGGGCATTCTTTTCCTTGTGCTCGCCAGGGTACACTTATCTGTCATCAGTGAGCACTCTGCCACACCACCAAGTCTATGTTGGCCTACAGGAGTAGATGTGTTTCCGTGTGACCTTTAGAAATTAGCAGGTGCTTTCCCTCCATAACCACTCTGGCTGCATCTTGCTTAGAAGGGACCGTAGTGTCTTCATCATAGTTGACTGCATCCACCCACAAAAACTGAGAGCAGCTCATGGTGCCTCGGTTCACTGGCAAACTTATCACTACCTGTGTGTTAGCAGGTAGGGTAATCCCACTTATACCCTGTGGTCTAGGTCACCAAGTCACCCATAGGTATTACAAATACTGGTTACAGTTGAAGAAGTTACATAAACATTTAACTACTGTATCTCCCTGGAACCCAAACCAAAGTAGTCCACCCATCCAGTGCCTTAGGGTACATCTCCAGGGGGGAAAAATTTCCACTACCTGTAACTCTGGTAAGAACAACTTAATGTGCAGATTTACAAATGTAATGGATATAGGTACAAAGACATGAAAAGTAAGGTAACACGTTACTGCCAAAAGAACATAGCTAAAGAAAGCAAGTTCAAAGAAAAAAAACTGCCTTTTTGATAGTTTAAATAATAATCCTAATTCAGTAAAACATAAGAGAATGAAATTAGGAAGGTACCTTTTGTTCTAAATAAAAAATTCAGCAAAGGTGTATTATTAAAATATGTAAACTTTGGAGCTAAAGAATATAATAAATGAAATTTTAGAATATAATAGAACTTAAACAAACTATATCAAACAGAGGAAGGACCCCTGAGTCCATATTTCTGAGCTTGAAGTTATAGTAGTTGTTTAGAAATAACTTAGATTAAAAGAAGAAAGTGGCTGTAAGACTTGTGGTTAAACAAATGATATTATTATTAGTATTTTATAATAGAAGGAAATGGATATATACAAATGGATTTGGCAAAGCAATAGTTGAATATTTTTCAAGTCTTCAATTAGTATATACATCCAGGTCCAAGAACCTCAGAGATCTCTAGTAGATTCATTCAAGAAAAATCTTTTTTGAGGTATGTTATGTCAGGCTAACAAAGGCCCAAGACGAGAGCGCCAGCGTATATGGGATCTTCTCTAAACTAGCTGCAGACTTCTCAGCAGAACTCTTAAAGGCCAGAAAAAGAATAGACATTTAAATTGTACAAATAAATAAATATGTGTGATCAGTAACAACATGAATACGTTGTTCAGCAAAGTCCTAGCATTCAGAAATGAAAAGTGCCTTCCCAAACAAGATAAACGAGACAGTCCATTTCTGTCGGCCACTGCAGCTTTGTAGTGCTGAGAGACTCCTTCACCACAATCAGAAGGCCATCTATCTTTAAAAAAATCTTTAAAAAAAAAAAAAAGATCCTGAAAAGCCAATATAAAAGCTCATTTGGGGAAAGCATATATATGGCTTGAATTGATAAATCACTAGAGTAATCATAAAAAGACACTCAAAAATCAGACCAAAATGAAAAATTATAATTGATACAAGAGAAATATGAAGAATTAGAGATACCAATATTTTTAAAGGACTCTAGTTAATAAATGGGAAAACCTCCAAGTGAATAAGTTTTATGAACACATATATCAATACCAAAGTTGAAGCATTGAAGACAGAACATTTGAACAGACCAATAATGGGTAATGAGATAGATCATCTCAGGCCAAATAGAATGGCTGTACTTAAAATGTTTATAAAAGTGCAGAAAAAGAAGGCCGCTTGCACACTGTTGGTGGAAGTATAAGTACAGCCATTCTAGCAAACAGCAGGAGGATGGCTCCTGGGGTAGAGTTGATAGGTAATCTATCAGGAAATGCCTGCATTTCGCATAGCACTGTCCACAGTCGCCAGGATGTGGCTTTAGCCTGGGTCCACCCACAGAGGAAGGAGGTGTGGCTCATGGACAGTGTGGAATATTAATCTGGACGTAAAAGAATAAAGTGCTGCGGCTAAAGCAACAGCATGTCTTAGGTGAAGTAAGCCAGGCCCAGGAAACTGAAGAGATTGAGTTTTTGGAGGGAGGGAGTAAAGCGGTGGTGGATGGAGTGGGGAGGGGGCAGACTGCAGTGTTTTGTGATGAGGAAGACTGCTGTTCCCTGTGCAGGGGAGTGGATAACTTAGAGATAAAGGCTAGGGTAGAAACCTGAAATGCTACATCTCACTAAACAAATACTTATGTGTTAGACTTCGTGCAGGTTGATAGGTTGATTAGCATTAAGATCTATATCTAACTAGAGAGGCAAGTTTTACGTCCTTCTAAAGCAGAAGCTAAAATCACCTCAGTTTAGTCACTAGCTCACTGCTTCTGTGCAGCCTGCCGGTGCATGTATGCCAGGCTATGTATGTCCTTTCTTACTCATGGTCACGATGATTACTGTGTGTTCGGTGATTCTTTTGAGACCCCGGTCCCTCGCTCTTTGTTCACCATTGTCACCACTCTTGAGTCACTTGCTGCTGTGCATTTGTGATCTTTCAGACCTATGTCCTACTATTGCTCCCCGACTCCAGCTCAGTCCCTCTGTAGTGGTGCTCTGTGATCCTGTTCAGCTCTGGGCCCACGGTCATGCCACTTTCTCATTGTTCTTTCTGCACCGTGTCCTTCCTTTCTCCTCGCCCAGTGGTGGTGTTGTGACTGCTTATTATATTCAGTCTTGCAGTTTACCTTCAGATGCCTTTCCCTTCTTTTCTTTTGTTGTTCTTTGCTTAAGCTATAACCCCATCTAAATTTGGTTTAGCCTATTGATGATTAACACAGCTAATCAAATGGTCTTAGAGAAAGGCAGAATGAACAAGCTGGCTTGGCTTTGTAGCCCTCACAAATGGGATATGTGATTTATCAGGACAAGTCACAACAACTCTTGTTCACTCTGAGATCAGTGTTTCATGTCCCAAAATCTGATACTTCACCTTTCTTACTCAGAGGCATCCTTGCTTTCTCTTTCAGAGGAAATTGAACTAGTGAGAAATTAACTGTACATCCCATTGCCACACCTGTCTTTACCTGTGTCCGTGTATCCTGGTCTTCACCGGCCAGCTGCGGCTTTTCCAATGTACCAGCTCCACATCTTTGCGTACTCAGATGTAGTTCTTATGTCTGATTTCTGAATCACTAGTGGCTCATCCTCTGCCTGGATGACTCCCCTCAGTATAAACACATTTGTTTGTAAACGGAATCCCTGAAGCCCAATAGCCTGTCCTTGCCGCCATGTCTTTTTTTTCCTTAACACATCCCAGGGTTTCATCTTTTACCAAAACTTTTTCCTGGGTCTCCAGAGATCTTGTGATTTTTGTCTTATCTGTCAAAAGCTTTTCTCGTTACTGGCTTCTAGAAACACCTCTCTCTGGTTTTCTTTCTACATGTCCATGTTTTAGTTTGACTTGTGCGCATCCACCAAACTCTTAAATACAGAACACTCCAGCACTCAGACCTGGCGCTTAGATTGCCTCTTCTGTTCTTACTCCTTACCTAGGCAATCTTATTTGGTGGTTTTCTCTCTGGTAATGACAGCCCCACTTATTTTAACCAGACTTATCTTAGACATGCCTGTTACAGTAGAGTCACCTTCAGGGTTTTCCTGAATTCTTGATATTTGGTAAATATCTCAGTTATTTATTTAAAACTGACTTCCTGAATATTCACGAATGCTTAGTAGTAGTCTGTTCTTCTTGTTGCTTGTATTTAAAGAAGGGGGACAAGCACCTGTCATCCTTGACTTTTCGGTTTCCCACACGTCTAGTGTGTCTTCAAATCTCATTGGTTCTATCATCACTATTCAGAATTTGATCTACTTATGGTTCCACCTAGTCCAAACCCCTGTTCTCTCTTACATTAGAGCATTAGCCTCTTTCAGATGTCTCTAGCCCTTCTGCCCTTCAGGTGTTCTCCTCCCAACAAGAGCAGTGCTGTTGAAATCAAAGTGTCTGTCATTTCTCTGCTCAGAATCATCCTGTGCTTTCTAGTCTCCGAGGTGAAGTTGTCATCTCTGCAGTTGCCTACAAGGTCTCACGGTCTCCTTCTGTTCTTACCGCATCTGCTGTCGCAGTAGACTTGGTTGTGTTGTGCCATTCTCCGCATGCCCTATCGCAGAGCCTTCGGCTTTTCGTTCCTTCAGACGCCCCCTGCAAGACACCGCCAGGACCAGCCTTCTTCCTTTGTCCCAGGTCTCCTCCCCCAGCTCTCACCTAAAATTCAGACATACTGCTTCGCTTCACCCCATTCCTTTTCCTGCTTTATTTTGTCCCTGGCTTATAAGACTCACCCACTATCGTATCTTGTTTATTATTAGAATATAGGCCCCATGGAAGGACCTTCCTACCTGCCATCCGTGTCTATTAAGCAAATTAATGTGCACTGTATTGTTAAGAAGCGTGTTAGGAAATTAGATGATCACAATCACCCCGTGGATTTCGTTAGGATAATTAGTTTCTACGATTATTATTGCGGAGATGAATCATTATTTTCTTGAAGTTTCAGAAAATGAGCAGAGCTTTGAGGTGACCATGACGGCAACCACAGAGGTGGCAGATGATGAACTTTCTGAGGGAACTGTGACACAAATTCAGGTATAGTACATCCTTAAACTGGCCTCGGTGAGGGACATGGTTATTACGCGCAGCTTATGTAAGAAATGAAAAGCGTATACTTCTACAGCATTGCAGCAATGAAATTAGTGTAAGTCATTCGGGTTTCCAGTCCCCACATGCTGTAAGCAGAATTAGATATTTGTTCGCCGTAGAGTGGTGCATGGCTGTTAAAATGGGAAATGGTGGGTCTGCATTCGTCTGTGTCCAGAGACCTTACTTGAGCTGTTAACAGCAGTGATTGTGGTCCTACTGTTTGGTGCTTGTAGAACTAGGTAAGTTTTCACATGTGTTGTGAGGATGACTGGTGGCCAGGCCTTAGCGTTCTTAATGTGCTGTCTTATTGTGGGCCAAATCTCAAATGTGTGTGTATTCTAAATTTATGTCTGCCCGATTGTGCCTTTTGCTTCATGTCATCATTTCATAAACTACTTGGTATTTTTTTTTTAATTAGAAGCATCAGAACATTTTTATGAAGCACATCTCAGTGGCCTTTCACTTAAGAAATACAAGCGTTCCAGGTTGATATGTAGCATCAAGAGCTGAGAACACCTCAGACATGTGTCCTATTTCAGTGGGTAGGACTTTTTTCAGTTCTCCTAAAGCAGTAGAAAAATCCTTTCTTCTGAACAGGGATTGTCAAATCATTCCCCTGGTTTTCATTTTATTTTTGTTTTTTTAAGACAGTGTTTCTCTGTGTAATAGCTTTGGCTGTCCTGGAACTCACTCTGTAGACCAGGCCAGCTTCAAACACACAGAGATCCACATGCCTCTGTCTCCTGAGTGCTGGGATTAAAGGTGTGTGCCACCTCCAGTCTTCAATGTATATTTCTGACTAACACTGCATATATATGAGAGAAAGGGCAATTTTCTTCTCTCTGAGATTGTATGATCTCTCTTTAACATGTGTTCTATCCATTTTCCTGCATATTTTGTTACTTCATTTTCTTTAGAGCTGAACAATATCTATTTTATAATTTTCATTATCTAGGACTATTTTAGTTGATGTCAAAAGGGCATTTGACAAAGTCCAGTGTGCCTCCATGGTAAAAGTCCTAGAGACTTTAGAAATAAATGGAACATAGATAGATAGATAGATAGATAGATAGATAGATAGATAGATAGATAGATAGATAGATAGATAGATAGAGGCTGTATACAACAGTCCTATAGCTAACTTTATATTAAGTGGAGACAAACTGAGATCATTTCCTCTGAAGTCAGGAATGAAAGAAGGACGTACATTTCCCTCTATTTTTCCTTAGAATGCTTGAAGCATTAACTATAGCAGTTAGACAAGAGAAAAACATAAAAGGACAAAAATAGGAAGAGAAGAAATCAAACTCTCCATTTATAGACCTTATGAGTAGACTGTGTCTCCAGTGCTAAAGTAGTAGAAGACTTCTACAACAAAAGACATTAAGATGTGAGAAAAGGAAATCACAAAAGAAGCTAGACAATGGAAAGATAGTTCAATATCATGAAAGTGACTTTATAACCACAGTCAATTCATAGAATTATGCAATACCTATCTGACCTCCGATGTCATATTTCACAGGATCATAAAAAGCAATACAAGAATTCCTATGGAACCTCAGTCCTAAGGAGTAAGAACAATGCTGGAGTCATTACAATACCAGACCTCAAATTAATCTGTACAACTATAACGATAAAGACGGCCTGCTGCTGACAGAAAAACAGACAGATAGGGGACCTAGTTAAGTAACAAAGCTGTGCCCACTTAATGTTTCACAAAGATGCCAAAAGTATACTTTAGAAAAGAAGGTAGCTTACTCATCAATGTTGCTGGTAAAAGAGTGAAATTCAATTCTATTCTTTCACCTTCTACAAAACTCTATTTAAAAAGACCTGATAAATCTAGAAGAAAACATAGGAGATGCCTTTCAAGATAGTATGGTAGGAAAGAGGTTTTGACTAGAACATCATTGCACAGGAACTAGCCCCAAGCATCAGCAGCTGAGACTGGGTTCTGCCCAACAGTTAGTTTTTAGAGTGGGGTTTACTGTCTTATGAAATTGATGAACTCAAGTGATCAGCTGTAAGAGTTTTGTTTTGTGTTCTTGTCTCAGATGGGGTCTCATCCCGTAGCTTAGGCTGACTTCAGACTAGTAGGAGGAGCTCTCTTCCCTCAGGCTCTCACATGCTGGGATTACAGGCGTGGACAGTGTTAAAACTGGGCATTACCTGCATCTTGATAGGTATTTCATTAATATATAATATGTATGTCAGATCCTACAGAATTGTAATTGCCTTAGATGACATCTAGTTTGTCTCAGTTCATAACCATTTCGTTTAGTCGTGTTAAAAAGTCTTAAATGTATAACACAAGATGAAACGATTAAGACTTGTTATACTTGTTCCAGTGGTTTCTCATGTGTGTCCGTGTATGTGTATGCATGTGTGCACATGTACATGCTACAACATATGTGTGAAAGTCAGAAGAAGTGGATTCTCTCCTTCCACAGTATGCATTCTGGGCATTGAATTCAGGTCGCCAAGATTGATGGCAGTCAGTCATTACCTTCGGAGCCTTCTCACTAGCTATCTGATGATTTCTAGCTAGACTAAAATCTTGTCCACAAATAGGCCCTTAAAAAGGTATAGCCATGGAGACATGGCTGTTCTCATTGTGTTCTGCTCTTTCACTTGACAGCTTATCTATTTCAAAGAAAAATGGGATTCATTGTGACAGTTATCTAAATTATTCTATTATTAATAAAAATCCAGGAGTCAGATAGTAGAGTATGAATCTCTTAAACCCAAAAGCAACAGAGAAAAGCCCAGTTCACCTTCCTCTATGCTTTTCCAAGATCCAGGAAGGTCTGCAAAACTCCTAAGCCCCTCCTCTTTCCTCCCTGTGTCCCCTTTCCACCTGAGTCAGCCAAAAAAACTCTGGCTTATTCTGGTCACCTGAGCATGAACTCTGTCCTCTGAATTAGGATTCAATTTATTGACAGTTTCAGGGGACAGAGGGGAAAGTTCTCTTGGGAAATTTCCCCCTTTTTGTCTAAATAATAAGATAAGGTTTTAACTCTTAACATAATAAAATTAGATGCAATAAGGTATTGTCTAAATAAAAAGAAAAGGTATTAACTTAAAAAAAAGTAAAACCATATACAGTAAGAACAATATTCAAGCAAGAATTAAATTCACAATGTCTAGTCCATTTGTATTTGGCAAACTCAGAGAAAATACGTTATCTATCCTCTCTTGGTGTGTCCAAAGTTTTGTACCTAACTTACTTTCTATAGTAACTAATGAAAACTTACTGTAATCATGTAGTCTTCAACCTCATCCATCAGAAACCCGAAATGTATACAATATTACCTGAGTAAACAGGAACTGCAGAGCAAACAGCTTCCAAAACTGTAGAAATAATGGAGATAACTGGTTGCCTGGACAGTCACCCCAAGATTATCTGACAGACTTTTGTGAAGCAGGAAATTTTGAAGAATTGTCTCGTCTTGTCCTGGCAAAGCTCAGCAGTCACCTGTGTTCTTCTTGTCCAGTATGGATAGCATGCTTGTCAGCAATTGAGGCAAGGGCAGTTTCTTTCAAAAGTGACTTCCTTTGCCAGCAATGAAAACAAACTCCAGTGGAGGTTCTTTGATGCCCAGTCCTTTTTTGAAGTAAATAGGTGCTGCCAGGAGCAGATGTGTCTCACTATCAAGAATAGGCCTTATGTTATGAAAATATCTTAAATGGATATTCTGTAGATCTCTGAAATATTTGAAGACCATCTGTCTATCTAGAATATATGTTTGATCTTGAAAACATTTCTAGCATGGTTATCAATTTGATTCCTTGATGACTAACTACTAATCTATATTTCTTAATAATCCTGTATAGTTTTTAATAATAACTTTCAATGGCTAGAAATTTATATTAGATTGCTAAGTGAGCTGCATAGGTACAATAACTTAAACAAGAGTAGAAACATGTATACAGTATAAGATCAATAACCTTAAATTTGTATCAACATACAAAAAATATACCAATATAAATGTTTGAGACTAATATTTGCTTTTTTGTTTTGTTTTTTTTCGAGACAGGGTTTCTCTGTGGCTTTGGAGTCTGTCCTGGAACTAGCTCTGTAGACCAGGCTGGTCTCGAACTCCCAGAGATCCGTCTGCCTCTGCCTCCCGAGTGCTGGGATTAAAGGTGTGCGCCACCATCGCCCGGCTGCTTTTTTAATTTAAAGAAAATTCAATAATATACCCTTTTATCTTATCAAATCTATGTTCCCTTTTTTCTTTTCAGAACGAGATCCTTAAATCTGATCTCCTTTGTTTAGTTTTTCCTTGTTTATGACCAATGGCAACTTATAATCAATTCCCCTGTAATGACAAACATCCCAAACTCATCAACTGACCAAAAGCTACTTACCCTACCTATTGGGAATGTGGGTATTGTGTTCCTAAAATTACTTCCTGGTGTCTGGGGAAACTAAGATAATGGTCAAGTCCTGAGAGAACTAGCTGTTGTTCATCTTGCTATTGTCCATAATGCAGGGCCCATCTGAAGACTTGACTGAGTAGTCTATTAGGCTGGCCTGGCAGTCACCTTGAAATTTCCTGAGCAGTTTGCAGTCCAAAGCTGATCTTTGAATGTTTGTCAGCTTAGTGGCTTTACCACAATCCAGGTATAATCGTCATTGTGGGGCCCCATCATTCTTTTGGATTCAATAGTCGCTGTTAGAAATGGTCACAGTTCACTGCGGGAAACTCAACATTTTAAATGTCATATGCAGCAGATCTCGGAGAGGTTAAAGGACCCCAGTTTATTAAATACGTCTGGGATACACAAGCTTAGTTCCTAATTACTTGCTTTAGACTTAGGTCTAAAATCATTTTCAGGAAGCTAGAAGCCTAGATCTAAAATTAGTTATGCTATATAACCATTACTATCGCAACAAAAAGTTTATTTTATATATACTACATATATAGTATATTTATAATAAACTTTGAGATGTTTATGCCTTAAGAAAAGTTTTGAAGAATCAAAATAAATCCAAGAGATTATGAGATTAGTGACAATAGAATAGTTACTTAATTTTTTTTTCTTCTGTTCCATACCAGGTGGCTCTTCTGACATGAGACAGAGACTTTAGATTTTTCTTTAGCAAGCATGCTTGGGTTTATAGAAAGAGAGCAATACTCCACCTCCAAAGCCAGCTTAGTTTTTGATTGAGTTGAGACTACAAATAGATCATTTGGTTTACATGTCTATAGGTTACAGCAAAAACAAGGATTTGGGAAGATGTCTGAAATTTTAGCCTGTTGGAAATGGTTCTTTTTTTTCTAATCTGATCAGATGAAAGGCATTTGTTAGTCTTATAAGGTAGTTTTTTGATTGAATGACCAAGTCTTTTGATGAACTGTCACCTCTCCTCATCATGAGGTCTCTCCTGTATGAATCTAATCTCTTATCAATCTTGATAGTATCCATAGCATTTCTGATTCTGTGGAAACACAAGCAAAATCTTTCCCCAACAAGTACCATGTAATCTATCTCTGGGAATCTTTATTACTGCTTTCTGTTTATTAAGCATATCCTTTAAAGTACAATTTGATCTTTCTACAACTGCTTATCCCATAGGAGTGTGTGGTAGACTTGTAATATGTGTTACATTGCAATATGCGAAAACTTTCATTTTACTAGAGACATGTGCTACAGCATCGCCAGTCTTAATTTGTACAGATGTACCCATAATGGCCATGACTTCTAATAAACGTGTAATTATAGAATCAGTGGTTGCTCATTGAGATCCTAAATATGTAGCTATGGTGCAGTGCACATATTTTAGTTTTCAAAACTGTAAAATAAAACATTTATTTTTGCCAAATATCAATTTTTTAAAAAAGATTTTTATTTATTTATGCAGTATCCTGCCTGTAGGCCAGAAGAGGGCACCAGATCTCATTATAGGCTGTTGTGAGCCACCATGTGGTTGCTGGGAATTGAACTCAGGACCTCTGGAAGAGCAGTCAGTGCTCTTAACCACTGAGCCATCTCTCCATCCTGAAATATAAATTCTTGAAGTATTTTTTAGTTACTTCCTATAGGTAATAGAGTTTCATTATACACAGAGCAAGTAGGGCACTTCGTTATAATTCCCTTGGCTTGTTGCTGTTAACATGGTGTTCCTTCAGAAATTCTGAGCCGTCTGGTACATTTCCTACCAATAGCTGGTCCATTCCGTCATTACCTGTGCTCGAGAGCCTGGTAGACCCCTATGGGGTCTGATAATGTGTTGTGTACAAGGAAAGATTTCTATTTCTGATTACTTTGTTACAGTTAATTCTGAAGCATCTGGAATAAGTTCAACAGTTTTAATATTTAAAATTTGAGCATATTGAGAGTCAGTAACTATTTTAAGAGGTTCTGGAAAAATCTAATGATACCATCAGAGTCCCATGTAATTCTGACTTTTAAACTGAATCATAAGGGCTTTGAGCTATTTTACTTGACTTTTTTGACTTAGAGCCTGTTTTTCCCTATTTATTTGCATCGGTATAGAGTGTAGGGGCTCCAGAAGTTGGTATTTCTTTTATTATATGAGGGAGAATCCTAATTAGTTCTTTCTGTAAAATGAAATCTCTTGCTTTTGTGATATTTGTTGCTAATCTCTCCCTGAAAAAAATACTGCAAGAAAATGTTCATTTTCTGCCCATGAGGCAATTTCAGCATTAGTAAAAGGCACCATAGTTTATGAAATCTCAATTTTCCTTTAGAATCAATTTAGAAACCTTTTCTACATAGCTCTTTAATTTTTTGCTCTGTGTGGTAAAACTGTCCATTCTAAAATATTGTCTTCTTTCTGCATAAGAATTCCTGTGGAAGAGTGTGTTGATAGATGGTAAAAAGAACCAGAATACAATACAGCTCTGGGTCCAGACGATCCACATGCACATCCTGTAATTTTATTTCTAACAAACCCGGTTCTCTCTCGGCCTCAGCTGATAATTTTCTTGGACTATTTAAGTTGTTTTCACCTTGTCGGGTTTTAAAAAATTACTTGAGTTGTCAATCCAGTTGGGCTGTAGCCAGTTAATATCTCCTAACAATTTTTGAAAATCATTAAGAGATTGTCATCAATCTCTCCTGATTTATACTTTCTCTGGTTGAATTTTTTTAAGGCCTATATTTTATCCTAAATGACTAATAGGGTCTTCTCTTCCTATTTTTTCAGGAATTTGTGACTGTTCTTTATAGTACCTTTTTTTTCCATTTTGGTTTTCCTTGACAGGATTTCTTTTATTATGTGCACACTGTTCTCCCTGTGTGTCTGCCTGGAGGCCAGCAGAGGGCGCCAGATCTCAGTAGGAAGGGCTGTGAGGCACCATGCTGGTGCTGGGACTTGAACTCAGGACCTCTGGAAGAGCAGCCCATGCTCTTAACCTCTGCGCCACCTCTCCAGCCCTACAATACATTCTAATATTTCTCTCAGAAGCATTATTTTGTGGTTTGTTTTCGAGATTGGAGGAACATCGCTGCAACATGCATCCCCATAAATTCATTGCTGTGTTAGCCATATGTCCTGTCTGTCCTTCTGACTGTATATACTTGATCCATGTTGCACATGTTTTACCTGAGATAAAGTTCCAATCCCAAGAAGCTGGACATTTACATCCTAAAAGGCTAGTGTGGATGCCAAGATTTTGGTGAAATTACTATGTCTGCACCTGTGTCTACCAAACCCTCAATTTCAATGCCATTTTTATGTATGCTTTTTGTTTTGGTCTCTGGTCATTTATAGCAGTTTATCAAAATACTTGTTTTGTGATCTCTCCTGCACTTCTTGTTGTATCTGTAGAAGTTATTCTGTCTTTGGTCACATCCAGAGCAGTGTGGTTTTTAACAACAGGTAGTAAATCTTTTAAAACATGCCCAGGGTCAAGACTGTTCTGTGTAGCTTTGTTCCTCCCTACTTAGTGTGAGTGCAGAAGGATCTCTGTAGGTGACCGCTAACACTGTCTTAGTTCTTTGAGAGGAGCATGCACCATTCAAGGCTGCAAATCGTCTTCACAGGGCTAAGGCAACATTACCAGTTAAGTGAAGCAGTGATTTTGCGGTGATATAATTTACTCTGATAATCTTTTATGAAGAAACTATATTGAGAGGAAATCACCCCTGAGGACATTAGCCAGTCTTAACAACCAAGGAATGGAGACTGCTATCCAACCAAGAAAGCTCACAGCAACTGGATAGAAAAGTTCATTTTGTATACAAAATGCCCAAATGATTTTTGTTGTTGTTGTTGTTAGGTTGATTGTTTTTCCTTTTCTTTTGAGGTAGGGTCTTATTATGTAACTCCAGCTGTCTTGGAACTCACTTTTAGACCAAACTGGCCTTGAACTCCCAGAGATCTGCCTGACCGCCTCTGCCTCCCAAGTGCTGGGGTTAAAGGCGTGCCCAGCTTGGAATATCTCGTTATTATTTTCTGAGACAGAAGGTGTATGACCCAGGCTGGGAAACCAACATCCTGCTTCAGCCTCCCGATGCCAGGATTCTAGATATATGCCTCAACACCCAGCTTCCCCAAATGATTGTATTCACCTAATGTATAAAAAGCTGCAGCCAGTGTACACATGAAATTGAATTATATTAGAATTTTATAATTCCTAGCCTCAACAAATGTAAATCCACTTGGGCACTAATCAAGCTTCTAACCCCCCCTCCCCCTTTTCTTTTTAAAGATTTTACAGAATGATCAACTAGATGAAATATCTCCATTGGGCACTGAGGAAGTTTCAGCAGTTAGCCAAGCATGGTTTACAACTAAAGAAGATAAGGATTCTCTCACTAACAAAGGTAAGATAAGTTGAATATTGGATCCTAATATCAGACGTCCTTGGTGGAACAAGTAATGTGATTGAACTTTCTGTTAGATTTAAATTTCACCATGGATGATACCATAATACCACTTATTTTACAGTAACTGTTACCCTTGTATTTCTGATACAGATTCAGTTTTACGTGTTATTTTTGAACAGATACGCTGCGGTGGCATTTAAGAGGTGTAAGAGGAGAGAGTGAGCTTTTCTTGTGTTTTTGAGAGTCTCTTAGAAGCTTAGACATGAGAACGTTTACATTGCTATGCTGAGCACCAGCGCATCTGGGGAAGCTGTTATCAAAACAAAGGACTGTGGGATGCACTGTGCTACTCCAGTGCAAAGACACAGAGATGAGCGAATAACCTCAGCCACAGTACAGTAAATACTCCTGACAGTTTGCCTGGGAGCTGGCTTTTTATGTTTAGCTCTAGAATCTTCAGTACTTTTTTTTTTTTTTTGGCCTATAACATTAATTTTTTATGAAAGAAACTTTTCCAAAATCTTTTGAGTACGATTTGACTCTCCTCTTATCTACGCAATATTACACTTCCACAAGAGAAGTAGTACTTTAGAAATCGGTTTATTCAGTAAGGTTACAATAGTTACTGCACTCGAGGACATTTCAGATGAATAGAGTACTCGCTTAACCCAGTTCTGTTCTCAGTGGCAATTTTATCAAAAGAGAAATATGTTATATTTTATTCCTCTCAAAGGGTAATATTTTGTGTAATAGTTGTTTTATTTGTATTACACTAATTTCTTTTAAAGGACATAAATGGAAGCAGGGAATGTGGTCCAAGGAAGAAATCGATATTTTGATGAACAACATCGAGCGCTATCTGAAGGTACCCCATGATACAGTTTTCACAGTTCAGTAATTGGTTCACAGGTGATTGCAAGGATAGCCAGGTAGTAGTTTGTGTAATTACTATGAATGTCTCACTAATTTTCATAACAGAAGATTGATGCCTTAATAATTTCAAAATCCGTGACTATATTTTTCTATTTTTAAAACAGATTTTGAATTTTTATCACAAAGTAACCTTAGTTGCTGAAATTAGGACAAAAATGTTCATTGCTTCTCGACTTGTAAGCAAGGCCTCCCTTGTCTTTTCAGGCAGGCTGTGAGTTTAGCTTGTCCGTGCCTGGGGGTTTGCTTCTTTTCCCAGCTTAACTCATGCTAGTGCTATTGCTTTTTAAACAGACAAACAAAAACAACTTTAAGTTCGTTAGCATAGGCTTGTGATCCTTGTCATCCTCACTAAATGTTTGAGGAGTTAACAGAAACAGGAATCCTCTCAGTCCGTACTATTGTACTATCTCTCTGAGCAAAAAAGGAAACAAGAAATGACACGCAAGGTTTCTACCCTGCAAATGATGTGCAAGGGACGGACCTTAAGAGTTCAGGGAAGAGTTGTTTCCCAGGATTGGAACAATTAAGCAAAAATAAGAACTTGATTTGCTTTTTGAGGCAGGGTCTTTCTTACTCTGTTGCCTGGGTTGACTTGCAATCCTGGCCAGCTTTGGGCTTGTGGCAGTCCTTCTCATAGCCTTGTGGTGCTATGACTACAGACAGTTCCTGTCTGTACCAAGGTATGTGCTGAGTCTTGAAAGGCTATGAGCTAAGAGTGGCCAAGTGTAGCTTACATTGTGCATGAATGCTAAGTGGCAAGCCCAGGACATTACTGTAGCCCTATAGCTGGAAACAAGAAAAGTAGCCTTGCCGCAGCTGACACAAAGAACAAGTCAGATAAGTAGAACTATATTGTACAGGAAGTGGGAAGTAATAAAACCTTAAAGAAAATCTGATAGCTTAGTTAGATGGTAGATTGGTAGTGGAGACCTATACACTTCTTACAGAATCCTCATCAGAGCCTTGCTGCATGCCTTTGAGGCGGTATAATTCAGATATTTTAAGTGTCGATTGTTAGCGTGGCTTGGGCTAGGGGAGTATGCATTCTTTATTTAGCTATTAGCATCATTTGACATATATAATAAATACATTGTCGCCTACCACATTTGTTCGTAAGCTGAATTTTCTTGCTAAGGTAAGCTTTGTAAACTGTAAGCTTAAAAAAAACTTCCACAGGGTGGTGGTGGCACACTCCCTTAATCCCAGCACTCGGGAGGCAGAGGCAGGCAGATCTCTGTGTGTTCAAGTCCAGCTTGGTCTACAAGAGCTAGTTCCAGGACAGACTCCAAAGCTACAGCAAAACCCTGTCTCAAAAAAACAAAACAAAAACCCCTTCCATTCTTTATTATAAATTCTCTACAAATGATGGACGAAAGTTCTTTTACCAAGGCTGTTTTGAAGAAACAAGTCAATAAGTGTTGAAAAATGCAGTTGTCCCCTGGTTCCATACACTGAGGAACTGAGGATGCTACAGACAGTGACTCAGTGCTTACCTGGTGGGGACGGCATGGATGGCCAGATTTGGAGAATTAGAAAAATGCTGTCTGACCTAGCAGCTCTGAGTAGATGGTCTGCAAGGCACAGCAGACTAGGGGGAGGCAGATAGACAAGTGCTGGGAGTCCTGGCGAAGGGAGATGGGATCACTGACGCGCTCGTGTGCAGACTGATGTGGGGTTGACACGAGTGGGCAGTGTGGGGGGTCCGGAGTCTTGGGAAGGAGGAAAGATAACATTGTTTTTAGTTCATCTTATCAGATGCTTAGGAGCCACATTTTAACAGGGCATTCTCATTGGGTAAGTGTCAGATAGCCCAAATACTGGGCAAAATGATAATGAAACTGCTACAGCAGAAACGAGGACAGCATGCTTGGTCCGTGCTGTCCCGCAGTGCCAAGCACAGAGTGCTTGCCTTTACCTGCGCTTAATTGCGATTCTGAAACTATGAATGAGAAGAGTCTAAACTTTTGGAAACGATGTACCACTGCAGTTTTACTTGATTTTGACATTTATATAAGAAGCTGGTATTTCATAAATTGTTTCTCTTGCTCAGTATTGTGATTTTTTTTTTTGCTATTGACTTGTTTCATTGTATTTTACTATACAAATATATTTCAGGTTGCTCATTACACAGGAATTATTATTTTCATTCTTTTTAGGTTGATTTTTGAAGTAAAACAATTTTAGATGGTTATTGGCCGTTGTATTCCTTTTTAAATTCCTCTTTGTATTTTCTCCCCATTTTGCTATGGGTTTTGTTTTGTCTCCTGCTAGATGTTCATGATGTTTGGTGTATCTCAAGGGTTTATAGGTAATTCATCACAGAAACCTTTTCATAATTTAGGGTCTTTCTTTTCTTTCCTTTTGAATAACATATAATGGACAAACATTCTTAATTTCAGTATTTTAAACTTGATTTTTCATGCTTGTGTAAAATAGCATCTCATAGGTATGAATCTATTCTTATTTATTGTCCTGATTATATTTTATAATTTTATACTTAATATCTCCCTCCCCAACTAATATGAAATAGGTCTTCAGTTCTTTTTATATATGGATGGCAGTTTCCCCAGCATTTTGTATAGGGTGAAAGTCCTTCTCCCAAGTTCTTTCTAGTTTTATCTTGTTATTACCTTAACCTGTACCAGGTTAACACAAGCTTGAACAGTCTAATACCTGACAGGGCAAGCCCCTTTGTGGATTTCTTGGCTATTTTTAGCCCTCTTTTCTTAAAAACTTAGTTTTTAGAGAATGAAATCCTAAGAGAATTTTTATTGGAATTATACCGACTCTCTTTGTAAAAGAATTATATTTTTTAAAATTCTATATTGTCCATAGAAGACATAAGCTTTGTATAGAAATGCAAATGTCTATTTATTGATTTGGTATTCAGCAACTTGATACAGTGCTTGTTTGTTTGTTTTTCTCTAAACCTTTGTGGCTAACTATATATATGATATTCCCTATAAATAATTCTCTTAAGTATATATTTCCGAAATGTTCTTTTATCAGGTCTGCAGCTTACCCTGATTCAGTATGAGTTTTATCATTTAGAGTATTTTTACCTATTTTGAAATTTTACATGTTTTCTGTAAATGTGCTGATATCAGTCATCAGTAATGATTGTTTCTGAAAACATACACCAGCTTCTGCTCATCAGCTCTCAGTTCTACCCTAAACTAGTGGGACTCCAGGGCTGTCACGATGAGTTGGCTTTAAGCCTTGTTGCCCCAGATGATTTTCTGAAATGTTCCTCATTGGGTTTTGTTACTGAGGGTATGTTAGCCTAATAAAATCAGAAATTATCTCCAGTTACTTTCTCCTAAATGTTTGGTAGTGTTTATTCATAATACCACCTAGGTCTGGAACTTTTATTATGGTGAGATTATGGTACCAGTTTTTTGGTTTTTTTTAAGTTTTCTGTTTATGTGTCTTTGATTTTCTACCTTTTCCAGAATCCGTTTTGGTAAGTTGACTGTTTTTAGGAGTGTGGTCACTTTATGTAAATTCAGAATTATAAAATTGTTCATATTGATCATATGTTCAGTCTCTGTAGTGTCTCTACTTAGGCCACATTTCTTTCATCTCTAGTATGTGTGCCTTTTATTTTTGCCAGAAATGTATCATTTCAAAATTTATTTTTAATTCATCCTTTCAAAGAACCATTTGAAACTTACCTTCATTTTGTTTTGATTTCCTTGTACTTGTTTTGAGTTTATTTTTAATTTTTTTATAAATTTAAAATGAAATTTAAACAGAAGTTTAAAATTTAAACTGAAATTGAGTTGTTTTAATTGGATAGTTTATTTCTGGTGTCCTTCAGTAACGCTTGAATAACTACTGCAGTACCTTAAGGTTTATTTAGAGTGTAGACTGACTAGCAGTGGTCTTTCTCTGAGGGTCACTGTGGACTGGTAGTGTTAAAGCTGCTGTCAAGCAGAGTGTATCCACATGCATTATCTCAGCAATCCCTAAACCAAAGAACTGTAACCCATTCAGGCACACGGAATAAAAGATGCTACAGAAATCATCTTTGAGATGTCAAAAGACGAAAGGAAAGACTTCTACAGGACGATAGCATGGGGGCTGAACCGGCCTTTGTTCGCAGTCTACAGAAGAGTGCTGCGCATGTATGACGACAGGAACCACGTGGGGAAGTACGAACGCTCATAGCTGGGGAAGGAGATGGGGAACCCCCGCTTTTTGATTTATTTCTTGAAGTGGATTCTTATTGGTAATTTTATCCTACAAGTGTTAGTATGTGGAGAAACCTCAGAATAGGACTTCCTTAGAAATTAGAAAGCTGAACTACTTTACGTAGATTAACTTGATTGAATTTACTCTGTCAGGGTTTACCTTGTAGAAATTAAGAATTGGGGTGGTTAAAAATGTAGGGAGTGTTAAAAAAAAAAAAACTCTAGATTCATGGATAGTATTTGTTTCCTATTTGATTTAGGAATATAGTATGCCAGGTTAATGACTTCATTTATTTTTAAATAAAACCAGAGTAGAAAATAGCTTAGCCATGATGAGTAGATTTCTGCTAACAGTAGCATTTATGGAAAGGTATCAAAATAGTTGAGTGATTTTGTGATATTGCTGATGCTTTGTCGCTGGGATTTCAGGTGGCATCAGTGTGACCTGAAAGACACTGGTGAGTTCCCAATGCTGGTTTCCTCTAGCCTGTTAGCAGGCTACCCGAGAAAATACACCCGAAACCTGAAGGGAATCAACTGAAGGCGTTAGGAAGTTGGACAGAAAGAACTTGTTGGCTCAAGAGTGAATGGCTTGGCTAACTTTCAGAAACTTTCCATGCAGTACAACTGGTTAAAAAGTGAACAGCCTTATAGAATTTTCAGATAAATGTATTTTTTAAACATAAAACAGAACATTGCATTGGCTGTGGCAATAAAGAAAAAGATTGTTAGAGTTTCTATGCCTAGCTAGAGAAAATAAGATTTTTTTTTCTCTTTACTATGCACTGTGTTATCCATAAGTCTATTTGGAACAGTTGTAATTTCAGAATTCCTAGACCTAACTGAAATAAATGAGGCAGGTAGATACTTTAAATGTTGGATTTCCATGAGAAAATGATAGCTTATATGTGTACTATAGCTAAAAGTAATTACTATTTTTTTTCTAAGAATTAGAAGCATTTATTTTAACTTTTAACTCACTTTAAAACACTTGACAAATATTACCCATATGCTATTTTGTTTCGTGTTCAGATCACTAAATAAAACTGGTTTTTGGTAATGTTTTTAGCAGTGTATATTTCATTGATTTCTTTTCCACTGTTCTGAATTTCTAGATACACTCCTGAAGAAATTGAGAAGCTCAAGGAGTAAGTTTTTATTGATTATAATTATTTGGCTTTTTGTCTTATTTTTAACTTTTAAATCTGAAATTTTGAACTTTTTTGTCGGACTGGCATAATTTTATTTGGCAGTTAAAAGATGAATTTCTGTTAGAAGTTATAGATTAGCTATTCCCATAATAGACAGATTAGTTTCCTGTTGTCAGTCACTAGGTGCTTGCTGAGATCACCAATAGGGATTCCAAAAGGAATTAAATGAATGTTTTCGGTGGCCTGGACACTTAATTTAGGGAATTTATTACCAGGATCTGGTGAGTGTTGACTCCGTCTGGTAAGGGCTGTGACTCTCCAGATGCATGAATGTTGCTTCATTGACTGAAGGCTGTTAGTACAGTCTGAAGACTGAAAGTAGATCCTTGTTATAAAGTTGTGTTGGGATTTTAAGGAGAGCTTGTTAGGAATGTGCTCCAAAGGAAAAACTCTGGGACTTGCCTGGGAAGTGTTAATAATCGGAGGGAAATTTGGTCTTTTTTAAAACCCATATCCAAGTTACCTATTTCTTCTCTGACCCAGGAAAAGGGCAATTGCTGCCTGTTTTTTTTTTTTTTTTTTCACCCACAGACAACTGTGGACCCCAATAAAAGGCCATTCTTTCAAACTTTGGCTCTCAAAAGTATTGCTGCCCACAACTTCCAAACCACCAAACTTCCAAAAGGGAAGAAGGAGAATGAAGAATAAATGATGAGATTAAAAGGGAGGAAATAGTTGAACCAATTGCTGATTGGCAGACTCTTGTTCTAGGCTCCGGATAAAGCACGGCAATGACTGGGCAACCATAGGGGCGGCCCTAGGAAGAAGTGCCTCTTCTGTCAAAGACCGCTGCCGGCTGATGAAGGACACCTGCAACACAGGTACTGCGTGCTGCGTTGCGTTGCGTTGCGTTGCGCTGCGTTGCGCTGCGCTGCGCGGACCGTCTGGCCCTGCAGGGGCTGTGTGCCGGTCACCTTTATTTGAACAGTCATTTCCTGATCTTTCTATCTCTCTATCTAGTTAGATAGATGAAGCCAACTGGGATTTGTGCTTTTAAATCCAGTGTCACTGAACATTGTTAACAAGGACATAGCGACACTAGGTTTTCAGACCATTTAAGTTTAGTATGCTGCAGTTTTGTATCAGTTCAGAACGGCTCCACTGGGGAAAGCTTTGTAGTTTAAGACATACAGAAGTCATTTTGATGTAAGCCCATCTAACTGAACTTAAAACATCAGCCTGTGTTTGTGACAGCTCAGAAAGAACCTGCGTGTGTTTCAGAGGTTAAGAATATTTCTGTGGATCTCCAACTTGAATTTTATTTTTCATAAATTTATGATTATTAGTATTTTGGTGTCTTGGCCAGGCTACATATAGTTCTTAATATATACAAATGTATTGATGATAAGTATCAAGCTAGTTTGTGATAAACAGTGGTTTGTAGAAACTCTGCCAATATTTCCACGAGCTTTAATTCCTCTGTAAAACAGGTTAGAGCAGACACTCTAAATCTCCTTTGGTCTTAATGTTCCTAAACAATAATACATGTTCAGGTCTTTAATTAAAAAAAAAAAAGTTCTCAAGTTTAACTTAAGATTCTAAACCATCTTTTTCTTTACCCCTTACTTTAAAATTAAAGTGAAATCAAGACCATGTCCTCTACTCCCTGATGTCATTGCTACCAGTAAGACAGCAAGACCATGAATTTCACCAACTGGCATTCATTCTTGGGTGTGGCTAGCGTACGGAATGAAGCAGAAGCTTTATTTGAAGCTCCAGAGGTTCTGTTTGCTTCTGTGGGTACAGAACTCACTTGTTAGCACAGTTTGGGGGAACAGTACCCTTCCGTGAGAGCAGCGTGAGAGGTGGGCCTGCCAGCTTCCCTCTGGCCTTACAACATGGCTTCTTTTTAAAGTTCCTTTCTGTTTTTCTGCTCAAGCTTCATTACATAAAAAGGCAAGAGAAACATTAGTTGTTAATCAGCTCAGAGATTTGGAAAAGATGGAATGAAAATGCCTATGAAGTCAGTGTCATCGTCACAGTGGCTTGGGGGTGGGCTGTACAAATGGCGGTATGAACCGCACTTTCTCTGGAGTAGATGAGCGCACAGATGTCACTGCGTGTATTCGGTATCTTTCCCTCTTAATAAGACAGCCTCTGAAGTTTATTCCAGTGCTGCTGGCAAGTGGTGAGAATTATTATCCTATCAGTGGGGCCATCAGTAAAGTTCTTCCCACTTTATTATTTCGATATAAAGGACTTGATGTAACTTGAGGATATAATTCTTTGTTGTTGTTTTAGGTAATAAAATGAAAGCCAGTAGAATATAATTCTAGTGAGTATATGTGGTTTCTAACTGAGTTCTGTTACAAAGTAAACCGATCAGCTGAGCTCCTTCATCCTTTGAATTTGAACTTGGACATAGAGGGCTAGATTCAGTAATGGCTGAAAGATAACGCTGTAATCTGGGTGATTTCCTTTTCAGGGAAATGGACAGAAGAAGAAGAAAAGAGACTTGCGGAGGTGGTTCATGAGTTAACAAGCACGGAGCCAGGTGACACCGTCACACAGGGCGTGTCTTGGGCAGCTGTAGCTGAAAGAGTGGGTACCCGCTCAGAAAAGCAGTGCCGTTCTAAGTGGCTCAACTACCTGAATTGGAAACAGAGTGGGGGTACTGAATGGACCAAGGAAGATGAAATAAATCTCATCCTAAGGTTTGGGTTCCAAATCTTTTAACAACAAAAGCCTGCTTCATTTCTGTAGATGTCTTGATGGACTTCGCTCTTGATTTCCTTGAATGCCTAGTGAAAAACAGCCTTGCCATGGAAAGCTACGTGCAAAACCCTGAGTACCTTATTGAGCTTTTTTTGTTCCTGATGGTTGATTTAGTGCCCAGGCAGAGTGCCAGACTCAAGGTGCAGAGACAAAGGCAGTGGCAGTGAGGTTCTCATTGTCCCACCAGCGTGCCTCAGCAGCGGCCTGTGGGAAAGCCAGAGCAAGGGTCTCTTCAGTCCCTGGGTACTGTGCGAGAGGTGGCCATGGAGACTTAGTCTAACAGTCACACACCATCGGCTTCCATCAAAGGAAACACTTCTGCAGCTTTAAGACACTGGGGAGAGGGTGGGACAAGTTGGTTTTCACTTTGTTTCAGCCATGGAAACTAATGAACAAACAGAACGTTAAAGTTAGGAGTTACACTAGTCCATGCTAAACATCAAAATCATCAGTCAAGGCAAGGAAATACAGACTATTAAAACCTCACATTTATTGTTTTTCTTTTGTTCTATAAGGTTTTGGGGGGTTTTTTTGTTTGTTTGTTTTTTTGTTTTGTTTTTTTTTTTTTTTTTTTTTTTTTTTTTTTTTTGATTTTCGAGACAGGGTTTCTCTGTAGCTTTTGGATCCTGTTCTGGAACTAGCTCTTGTAGACCAGGCTGGCCTCGAACTCACAGAGATCCGCCTGCCTCTGCCTCCCAAGTGCTGGGATTAAAGATGTACGCCGCCACCACACGGCTATAAGTTTTTCTCAACTTAAGTTATTTTTATATATGGTGAATTTCTAAACAAGTTGATTTCTTTGTAAATGGAAAGCCCAGCCAAGAAATAACTTACTCTAAAAACAAACTATAGCCAGGACTTGGGAGTCTGAGAGTTGGATCTCTGACTTCAGGACAGCTTGATACATAGAGCGAGTTCCAGGACAGCCAGGGTTACAGAGAGACCCTATGTTGAAACAAAAATAGGAAACCAAACTGTAAAACATGGCAGCACTGTACAACTCAGCCTGTTCTCCATCCAGTTGTGATTTCTGGTCTGCTCACTTCCCTTCTCAGCGCTGCTTCCGCTTCTCGCCAGCGTCTCATTCCTTAGCTCTTACACACTTAGACTGCTTGAGTCCTTTCTCTGCCACGGCCCCTCATTGCCGCTCCCTACCATTCCCTTTACCTGTACTAAGAGGAGGATTTGTAAATAAATTTAAGGTCTAACCGATTTATTTTGTAATCTGTAGGATAGCAGAGCTTGACGTAGCCGATGAAAATGACATCAACTGGGATCTGCTAGCTGAGGGATGGAGCAGTGTCCGCTCACCGCAGTGGCTTCGCAGTAAATGGTGGACCATCAAAAGGCAAATTGCAAACCATAAAGATGTTTCATTTCCTGGTAATGTACTACTTGCTTATAGTTGCTCCTAGAAAGTTAGTGGTTAGAGTCTTTGCCTCATGTACAGGCTAGTAGGCTATTATGGCAGATTTCATTTCAGCTGCCCTGTTTCCTTTTGTAGAGAGTCCATGTGATTTGTAAGTCCAGAACCCGTAGGGGAGGGCACACTTACACATGTTCATCTTCCACATCAACTGCGAAAAGGAAATAAATTGTACATGGTTTCCTTTAGTAGAAACTGTCCTCAAAAACAAGTTGATTAATTTTAAATACCTTGGCTATATTTATTATTTAGAGAAAAATCTGGTACCCTACATTTTTCTTTTCTTTGTCCTTTTTTTAAGAAACTAGGCTCTCAGGGTTTCCAGGGATCTTAAATGGGATTTGCTTAGAGGTTTGTCATTCACTGCCTTTTTGCATTTAGGTGCTAATCTGAGTTACAGAGTCTCCTTTAGGTTACCAAACTCATTTCTCTTATGGCACTCTAACTCCAGTTTTCAAAGCAGAATTCAGTGGTGAGGGACTTGACTTGAATTCCCGTTACAGAGGGTTGGTTTTGGTTATCGTGAGAGCAGAGGCTGGGCATCGTGGTTCACACCTGTAATCCCAGCGCTTAGAAAGCAAAGGCAGGCAGATCACTACAGACCGAGACACTGTCGCCTCACACCCGCCAAAGAGAGCAAGTTCTAGAGTAAGCAAGCCCACGAGAGGACCTTGAGTACCTGTGATTGGTAGAAGACTGCGTTGTTGTGTAAAAATAGAAGCAGTGTGCTAGCCTCGTTAGGAAGTAGTTCTCCTGCACCGTTCTGCCTGAAGCCCCGGAACACAGATGTTTATTCCCATGCCCCTAACAGTGTCTACCCACTCTTGCATTTTGTTCCAATTCTGATGACAAGAACAGTATACTTTAGTGATTTTAAAGTCTGGGCAGGCATGGTGGCATATGTCTCTAAGTCCAGGCTGCTTGAGGGGCAGAATTACAGGATCACAGGACTAAATTTGGAGACCAACTTGGGCAACATAGCAAGACCACTCCCATCTCCAAAAAAAAAAAAAAAAATTAATCCCTTTTTAATTTCTTACGGATATTTCCAAAGATTTAGACAGGTTTTAGTTGGAATCTTTTTTTATGATTTTGACAGTTCTCATGTGCAGTGTACAACTCTTTACTCCAAATACTTTCCCTCCTTGCCCTCCTCCCACCCTACTTCCCTTGATGCTTAGCTGGTGGTCTGTCGGAGAGTCATGTTCTTTTTGTCTACCCATCTCCCTTCAGTCTTAATAAAAGGTCTTAAACAGTTACATGAGAACCAAAAAAACAACCCAGTGCTTTTGGAGACTAAATCAGGAGCTGGAGTTCCAAACAGTAATTGCAATTCCAGTGTACAGCATGTTCAGATCAGAGTCGCCCGCTTGGAAGATAATACAGCCATCTCTCCAAGCCCCATGGCAGCGTTGCAGATTCCAGTCCAGATCACCCACGTCTGTAAGTGTTGGCACCTCAAGACTCCTTGCCATTGGGCGTTACCATCTAGTTAACGGCTCCAGTGCCTTAGTCTTCTAGAGTGTTGGTGAAAATTGATGAATTGTGAGATCTAAGGAATTTTATGTTTGACTCAGTTAACATTTGCACAAGAATGAATGTGTAACAGGAGGAACTTCAAGCACCTAACAGTTTCAAGTATTTCTAAGTCATCTTTCTAGATTTTATAATTAATGATAGGGATTTTTATAGACATTAATCAAATAGGCATCTAAATCAATGATTAGGAGAGAAATTGTTTTCAGTGTGACGTGTCATTTGTAATTTATCCAGAATGAAAACAACACAGGCTTGGATCTCTGAGGTAGTATATTTTAAAAATGGGATCTTTATAAAAGATTGAAAAAAAAAATTAAGGTAGTAAAGGGCCAGTTTACTTTAGGGAAGTGTTTTTAATCCCAGTTATCTTTGCTTGTCACAGATTTATGCTTAGAAGATTTCAGTAACCCAGCGATATAGAGAAAAGGTTTCTCACTTCAGCTCCATGTTTACCTTCCTCCCCCTTTCTGACATTTCTTTGCTTTTAGTGACAGAAAAGAAATGAGTTCCAATTCTTGGAACTGTCTTTATTTACCATTAGCCCCCTCCCCCCTTTTTTTGGTGGTGGTGGTGGTCCTACGTGATGCTGTTTGCCTGTGAAAAGATTGTTGCCCACAGTATGCACTTTTTTGTTCACATCCAGGCATTCTGAGTCTTTACAGAATACCCTCCTATTACAATATGCTTAGTGTTTCTTGACCTCATCTATAAGATGCTAATAGTGCTTTCCGTCAGTAGGACAAACAGACATGCACACACACAACACTGGGCACCTGTTGATACCATGAGCACCATATATCTGTATATGCAGCGACTATCCAAGGTACCTTTGTGGGGGTGGTGAAGCCCTGGATTTGATCACGTGCACCACAAAACAAAGCTGTTTTGGAGACATTTGAACTAATGACATGCCTTACTCTTTATTTGACCCCCCATTTTTTTTTTTATTTTATAGTTTTAGAATTATAAAATAGCAGAAGTTCCTAGTCTAAATAGATGAGCTGTTAATGAGTATAAATTGTACATGGAAAAGATTAGCCACCATTAGGATGACACTATCCATTAGGAAAACAGCAAATATTTCATGAATGGAACCTTAGTACTCATTCATACCATCTCTTTTTAATAGCTTCTTAAGAGTATTTTATTACTTCCGACAAGATGTGTGAGTATAGCAAGAGTTCTCCACCCCATTCATTTTTGTTAGCATTCTGACCCCAGCCTCTTGATTGTGCTCGTTAGACCCCATCAAATATGGTCTTCTGAAAAGAATTACTATAATATATTCTTTTGGTTTTAAAATTGCTTTTGCTCCTCATAACAACTCTATAGGAAGTACAGATAAAACGTTTGAATATTAATTTGAATTAAATCACTACAGGGGCCATGGAGGAGGCAGTGTTTCTAGAACTAATACCTAATGTTAGAGACCTCTAGTCCACATCTATAGTACTTACTAAAATTTCCAGAAAATTTTGTTACTCTGTTTCTTTTTCTCTTTCCAGATTAGCCTTGGTGTATTTTTCTTGCTTCCTAACTCTTGAAACACTTTCAGATACACACCAAGAGTTATTAGCAAACCTCTTGTAGGTTCTGATAATATCTTTCTTATGCTTTATGAGCCCTCTGGTGTCATTATTGCTTTCTGTGGCGTGTGAAAGCAACCATATTAAGCTATGGGTGGGCATGACTGTCTAGTAGAGCTGACAGTGGGCTGAAGTTAGCTCTTGTGTTTGTCTGATCTCTGTGCCATCCCAGATGAGCCCAGTATATAACTTCAGGTTCGCAGGCAAATTGTTCAGTATGTGATTTCCTTCATGACAGCTGATTCCATTGGAGAAATTTCACACAGCATTTTATTATTGTCCTTGTTCTTACTACAGCTTCCACAGACTCCCCTGCTGCTTCTGTTGACTCAGAAACAATAACACTAAACAGTGGAACACTACAGACATTTGAGATTCTTCCAGTGAGTAATCTTCAGATAATAGCTATTGGCTCTTTTTATGCAAAAGAAAGATGAGGTATCTAGATGGAGTTAGAATTCAGAGGCCAACTGGACAGACTGGACATAAATTGGACTTCCACTTTTATGTCATTGTCATGCTTTTTCTCTGTATGTACATAAGGCAGTTTTTTTCATCTGAAAATGACAGTAATGGGTAAATGGTATTGATTTGTATTGGCTCAGTCAAACTGATTATTACGAAAAATTAGTGGGCACTTACTTCATGAGCTGTTGGTAATATCTGAGTATGTTGAATAGCTCTTATGCTAGTCACTGTATACAAAATGTTCAGTTCCAGTCCTTAATGGTTATAGTTCTGCAAATTTTGTTAGCTGTAAAAATGTTACCAGTTATCAGGAACTGGGGAGCCGGCTCTGTAGATGAAGTGTTTGTTTTGTAAGCACAAAGGACCTTGGATTCCCAGCACCCTTGTAAAGAATCTGGGAGCGGCAGCGTAACTGTATTGCCCCACTGTGGGTAGACCAAGAGTCCACCAAATCAGTGAGCTGTGTTTCAGTGAGACTGGACAGAGATTGAGGAAGACACCTATGTCGACCTCTGGCCTGCACATGCATTTGCACACATGTGCACACACTACGTACTCGTTATCAGTGACCAAATTCTAACTGCAAGTTTATCTAAAATAACACAGAACTCATGCCTGAATGCTCAATTTGGGATTGGAGCTAGCGGTGTGATTACTGTACTGGGAGGTAGCAGAAGCTGAAGCAGCCATACAGTTGGTAGATAAACAAGCATTCATCCACGGTGTACTAACTTGCTTTTCAATGAGTCAAGTATATTACAGTACATTTTAAGGCTGAACAATGGATTTATGTAGCTCCAGACGTGAAAGAAAATCTCTTGGTTCTCACATACTTGAAATTCCCTAAATAAAGGGATATCTGGATGTGATTCAAGTAAATTTTGGTTGCTTATAAGTGGTAGGGGAAATGGGTCATGACTTAAATGTACAGGCTTTCTTTTAGGGGCAGTGAAAACTCAAGAAGCAAAAGTGCCAGTTCGTGTCCTCCTTCCTAAAGCAAGCCCAGAGTTGGTTCCTATTTTGTTAAGAAAATATAAGCACTCATGTTACTTCAAGATTTATTTTCAATCATGTATTAATACAATAGTTTAGTCAACATCCTTTAGCTAAATCCCTTGAAGATTCTGTTTCCATCTTTGGACTTGAGACCATGGTGATCTCACAGTAGGAATGTACAGTATACTAAACACTGATAGCAGATAGAACTTCTTTGGACTTGAGATTAGTGACCTCATAGTAGGAATACACAGTGTGTTAATACTGATTGGGACAACTTTATGCTTGTTTATTTTGTCTTGGAGAAAGGCTGTTAAGGCTGTTTACTTACAAAGTCCCAACAAATAGCCGGGGGCTGGAGACATTGCTCAGCAGAAGGGGACTCGCTGCTCTTCCAAAAGACCCAAGTTCAGTTCCCAACACAACCGTCTATAAATTAAGTTCCAGGGGATTTGGCACCCTCTGTGGGCACCAGGCACAGACTGAATGCACAAACAGCAGGCAATACACGTAATTTTGAACTATATAGACTTAAGTGTATTCAAACACTTGAAGTGTCTGTGATTATATACAGTATTAGCACTGATTCCTAGCTATCTATGATAAATACTGGTAACCTTTAGAAAAAGGCTTGGTTTTCACTTTGGGGAAAGCAGAGAAAAACTGAGTTCCCATTGGTGGTGGACACTTTAATAGTCATTTCTAATTCTACCAACCCTTCCCATGAAACATGTATTATTTCCTTGTTAGCAGTAAGAAATCCTGTAGGGATCCAGGACACAGGAAAGACATTTTGGCCAAGATAATATTGAACTGAAAAACAGACTTCCCCAGCCCTCCCTAAAGTACAAAATACTTAATCTGCAGCTTATTAAGATAACCTGGACTAATAGAGACACTTAAACAGTTTAAATCCTATTCTATCACTATAAAATCTCAAAGGATAAATATATTGCTAGTTGACAACCTATTCAAATGGCATCTTCATTTTCCTTAATACATGAATGTTTCCTACAATTATTCCACAACAAAAACATTTCAAGTAAATAAACAGCACAGTGTTCCTTTTGAAAACCGTGCTGTCCGTCTGTCAGTGCAGCTCACTGTTGGGTGGGGTGGTGCATGCCTTAGTGCTGACTGAGGTCCAAGGATAGCTTGCGAGACTTTGTTCTCTTCCACTTTGTGGGGCCTGGGGATCCAACTCAAGTTCGGTGGCAAGTGCCTTGACCCACTGAGACATTTTGCTGTTTTTTTATTTACCACAGAGGAAAGTTTAAAAAGATGATTGAGAATTGAGATCCTGCATTGCCTATGGTAGTTCTAGGTAGAACCTACTGTGTTGGTGCTTAGTTGAAACCAGAACTAGAAATGCAGGGAACAAAAGACATGATAAATGTTTTACTCAGATATTTCAAACAGTATATAATGAAGAGTATTCTCTTTGTGTACCTTCCTGATTGGTTAGTATGCTGCTAGCTACTAAATTAAAATTAATTCTAAATGCAGATGTAAACTAAATCCATAGGTTTTGTACCTGTGTTGAGCCTCTTTTTCTTCTTTAGTCTTTCCATTTACAGCCCACTGGTACTCCGGGCACCTACCTTCTTCAGACAAGCTCAAGCCAAGGCCTTCCCCTAACTCTGACCACAAGTCCCACAGTAACCCTGGCAGCGGCTGCTCCTGCTTCTCCTGAACAGATCATTGTTCATGCTTTATCCGTATGTCATGTGATTTCCAGGGCCTATTGTGGGTCAGGATTAGTTGATAGAAATCTGAAGCCATTGGGGTTGGGTATCAGAGTACTTCTTGTTTGATTTGGATGCAGTATTTTGCACCGAATTCTTCACTGGGTACATGTCGAGTCTCCACGATTGTCTCTTACTAGATGCACATCCATCCAAGCAGGGAATTTACAAGAGGAAGGGACTCCATGGGAAGTAACAGATTGTAGAAAGTGAGGAAGTAGTTGCAGAGGTGAAAGGTGTGGGAAGGGAGGTTACTCGCTCCTGTCACTGACAGTGTCCTTCACTATTTTACAGCCAGAACATGTGTTGAACACCAGTGACAATGTCACCGTGCAGTGTCACACCCCCAGAGTTATTATTCAGACTGTTGCTGCTGAAGACTTCACTTCTTCCATCCCCCAAGCAGAACTGACAGCCGATGGCGACCTGCACGCGTCCGATTTTCCTGAGCCTCCAGACGCACTAGAAGCAGACACGTTCCCAGATGAAATTCCTCGGCCCAAGATGACTATACAGCCATCATTTAATACTCACGTGTCTAAGTTCAGCAACCAGAATAGCACAGAACTGATGAACAGCGTTATGGTCAGAACAGAGGAAGAAATGGCCGACACTGACCTCAAGCAGGAAGAACCGCCTTCTGACTTAGCCAGTGCTTACGTTTCTGAGGTAAGCTGTGTAGGTGACTGCAGCCTATGATACAAGTTTTGCCTTGGCCCTCACAGGTACTATAAGGAGAGGTTCTCGGCCTTCCTCATGCTGCGACCCTTTAATAACAGTTCCTCCTGTTGTGGTGACCCCAACCATAACATTATTGCATTGCTACGTCATAACTCATTTTGCTACTGCTATGAATCTAAATGTAATATCTGATACGTGACCCCACAGGGTTCGCAACCACCCAGTTTGAGAACCACTACTCCCGTAGCCTTTTCTCTTTAAAATCACAAAGTGCAAACTCAGAAGGTATCAGTGGACTAGCTTTTGTTGCTGGATGTGCCTGAGCATAGTTCCTCGCTGGAGTGCACCCTTTCCACAGGCAACAGAGTGAGCGGCCTTTGTTAACATCCTCTCCTGGAGCACCTTTGGGTGGTATGGGTAATAATAGATTCCAAATACATCCCACAGTGCAATATAATTTCCTCTATATGTCAGTGACATTGGACAATTGATTGGTTTAAGATCCTTTTTATCAATATTCATTACATTATGAGAGTATTGAGGTTCATAGACCCTCATCTTCTTAGGGTCTTGATGTTTATGATGTTCTAATTTTTAAATGAAGGACATTTGAGCGCTAAGTGCTAACAGACCTGGATGTACTTGGGGAATATAAGTCTTATCTTTTTTGTTTCCTTTTTTTTTTTTAATTATTATTTAGGATTTAGAATCTCCCACCATAGTACACCAAGTTCACCAAACAATTGATGATGAAACAATACTTATCGTTCCTTCACCACATGGCTTTATCCAAGCATCTGACGTCATAGATACTGAGTCTGTCTTGCCTTTGACAACACTAACAGGTACTGTACTAAGACCTTTTTTTTTAATATTTGTTTATTTATTATGTATACAATATTCTGTGTGTATGCCTGCAGGCCAGGAGAGGACACCAGACCTCATTACAGATGGTTGTGAGCCACCATGTGGTTGCTGGGAATTGAACTCAGGACCTTTGGAAGAGCAGGCCATGCTCTTAACCTCTGAGCCATCTCTCCAGCCCCTGTACTAAGACTTAATCATGAGCCTGGTAAATAATAATGAGAAAACTCAGACGGCTTTATCCAGTCATGTTAATGTCTTGATCTCTCGGTGTTCCTTGCAGGCTATGTTAGTAAAAGACTTAGACTGGATAATAAGCAAATACATTTAATACTAACTTTATTTAAACTATTTCAGATCCCATATTTCAGCATCACCAGGAAGAACCAAATATGATAGGGTCGTCTTTAGGCAGTCCTGTCTCTGAAGACTCCAAGGATGCTGAGGACTTGGTGAACTGTCACTAGGTTATCAGGGACAGCACTTCAAGTAAAAGAAGCCGCACTGCTGATTATATTTTCTCCAAAGACAGGAGCAGTCCCAAGAGTTTTGGTTGCCATTCCTCTGGCTTGTACGTAGCTGCTGTGCTTAAGCCGTGCACATTGTTGCTGCTGTTACTTTTTACCTCCGTTAAGGTTATCATCTGAGGTCCAATTTATGACAGTGTGTTATGCAGTATAGGAAGTTTTAATTGCCCAGATCTGTTCAGTTTTATATCAAGAGGGAGTTGCATTCACTGTAGCTACTTAAACCACCAAAGCTTACCTGCTCTGGTTTTTTACACGCAGTAACACTCATCTCTGCAGTTAGACACTGTATTCTGTCCAGACTCAATTTGGCCTGGTTATAGTTCAGGTTATATTATCAACATGGTCCAGCTTAGTCAGCAGTGACCTTCAGGAAGATTGTCTTAGGCGTTTAAGACAAGACCAGCATTTATATGAGAACATGGGAAGTGGTTGTGAAGGTTACTCTGGTTACCATTGCTGGCAGTGGGGGCTGAGAGGCAGGATGAAGAGGAAAGCATTAATTAAAGAGTCCAGAAAATTCACTACAGGTCTTTGATCTTTAACTCTTAAAGGGAAGGTAGTGAAGTAACGAAACCCACTGTAGCAAAGCAGTTATCTCCCCTCAGAGACAGCCAGTACTCTACAGTTAGCACTTTGAAGTCAGTGAGGGGAGGGGTATCACCTGTGTTTGAGAACCATGACTTTACTACATGGTTTACTCTATCAACTGCCCAGAAGATAGTTGAGGGGTATTAGAGTTTGATGTTCACTTAGTGCATTACCTGTTGGGGGTACAGGATAGCTTCTCCCTCAGGCACTTTCGACAAACAGAATTTGCTTCTGTATCAAAAGAGTCATTCCTAAGGGCACCGCCAAAACAAGCCGAGAGGGCTTTAATGATATGGTCTTACAGAAAAGTCAAAAAAAAAGAGCCTTGTATAAATTATTTTATTTATTATTGTAATTAGATCTTCACAATCAGAGTTGTCTTTTCACTATCTGTTTTATTAATGTGAAACTGTAGTAATAAGCAAAAGTTGGTTGCCTAGGGAACAATAATTGTATATTCAGTTTAACAGAAATAAAAGAGTATTTGTCTTAAAATGAAAGATTTGAGCCGTGCACTTAAAGTGTAAAAAAAATTATTTTCAAAGTGAAAATACTTTGTCATTTGAGGGCTGGAATGTTTCAGCTTCTTAAAGGAAAGCGGAGATCTAGGATACAGCTCCTTTGCAAGAGGGAGTTCAGAGTTACAGTTAACATGAAAATCATGTGCAGACTTCGGAGAGGATTCTTTCAGCATACTTGTCCAGCCGTTGATTCCCATAGATAGAGTCCTGGTGAGTACTCTGGGCTGCTTCACCTTCCCACGTTGTGGAAGTACAAGTTCGCACATATACACAACATGACGATAGAAAATAAGATGTAGTAAATTAGATTTCTAAATTTCGGTTCTAAATCTCCTTGCCGATACCAGTAGATCTAAAAGAAGGATCGAAATACAAATTTAAGTAATGACCAACTCTTGCAATGTAAAATACAACTAATTCTTTTTATATGGATATCATAGAACTTATTGTCCTGGCATAGTCTTCAGTTACTCATTCCTGAGGCCAATGCATCCATAATTCTTTATGATTCGGATAGTACTACACTACATTGTATTGTATTGTTTCCATGATACAAGATCGTATATATTCCTATTTTTGGTGATGTATTTGGTTGGTCCTGTGATCAAAGTATTTTACCAATCACACTAGGTAAAAACATGTTATCTGGATATATTTTTAATATATTTTAATTACTAGAGAGGAGAGTTCTTAGATTTCTGTGATCAGTTCAGATAGGAGAGAGCTTATGTAAGTAAATACATAATTTAATTATCTCAACCTTGGTCGCTCAGGACTGCAGAACACAGGCGATAAGAACACTTACACGTAGATTCCATCTGTGACTAGTTCTACTTAAGTGATATGGCTTAAAAGTTACGTGGGTTTTGAACAATTTAAGGATTTACTTTAAAAACTTCGTACTTTTTAAAAAATAGTGTTGGAGCTCAAACCCAGGGTCTTCTTGCTTGTGAGAGAATCTCTCCCACTGAAATACAACTTCACCCCAAGTGAGGTTTCATGAATTGAAAGGCAAAACCAACAGATACCTCCAAATAGCCATCTTTTAGGGGTGGGTGTTTTAGTACATGCTGGGTCTGTATTATAGCCATCTTATTACAGATAGAACTACAACTTGATAATCATGTTTCCGGGGAAACGTGATGTTAATTGTCTTCATTTTGGGAAGAACACAAATCCAAGTGGACCCATATTACCAGAAGTAATCTAGGGTGTTGTGCAAGACTGTTGAACCCTATGTATAGTTGCTGTGTACAGGCGAGTCCCATCTGACTTTGCACAATTTGAAGTATTATGGCAATTCTTAAACTTTCATGTCTACTTATCGAGGAAACAGTTTTCTTCAGGCTTTTTAACTTTGGGATTGAGGAGAAAGGATAATTCTGGAAAAGGGTAATTCTGATTACCCTTGGTAAATCCTTGGAGATGTGGGGTAAAAGGAGGGATGCCCTTTTATATAGACCCAGGAGCTAGAAATCTGTCCTAAGCACAACCATATTCGGCTCTTACAAACATTTAAATTCTATGGTACTCACAAGTATGCAGGCAGTAATACTACTCAAAAAGATGCAGACAGCAAAAAATACATTCAGAGGTTTGGGAGGTAGTTGAGGGAAAACAAAAGCGCTGATCAGTGTCACCTGTATGGAGAGACACGTAAGAGTAATTCCCAGGTGTGGTCAGACTGCAGCAGGTCCAAGTATTCGACACTTTCCCAGCAAGTACAGAAGAAGGCAAACTGGCCTCAAAAAGAAACCTCTCCATTAACAGAGATTAGCAGTCATATAAACCCCGTTCCCAAGCTTAGTAATTAACTAGGAAAAGATCTGATTATATTGGAATTGTAATTTTCCCTACCTAAAGTGAGTAGGGCTTGCTTTGGCAGAACAAACACTAAAATTGGGACAGTATGCAAATTAGGATGGCCCCTGCAAATCTGAGAATCGTTCACAATGTCCCCGATGAAATAGTGTGGAACACACTCATGCATAAACTGTTGATACCTTTGTATTTGTTTTCAGCATTGCCAAAATGCCAGGGGAAACTAAATTACAAAATTAGGAAAAAAGTGAATATACACTGGTTTGACTTAGTTTTATGAAAAAAATACCAAAAGATAGGTTTCTAATCCCCATTTTGTTTCTACCTTGTATAAAAAAGCAATGGAAAATTGTTCTCTTAGCAAATTTTAGTCTTGGTTATCACATTTTGTAAACTGTAGCTTTTTTCCTTTGATAGGCAGATAGAGAATGTGTATCATACATACTCAGATGTGCTATGCAGAATTTTAAAAATTAACATCTACTGTATGAATCTTTGCAAACCTGGTCAGAGTAAAGCTAAGGTACTAAAAGAAACGGAAGAGGTGACAGTCAGCCATTGCCACGATCCGTTTTACAGATTTACTTAGGCAGGAAATCATGGCCAACTCAATTGACTAATTTACTCTTTCGAACTTAACTATGATTGGAATATCTATATGTTCATACGTCTTTTGTTTGGGGAAGATTGATAGTAAAGTCTCAAAACTGGCCAGGAGTATAAATGCAAAAAGAAGATACTTACTAGAATCAATAAGGTGGTTAAGCTGCCAACAACTAAATTGATGATTCGATCCTGAAAGAGACAAGAGCTTGTTAGCCACATAACTTGGATTCGGCTGCGGCCAGAATGGAAGCCGGAGTCTTATAGAATCAAGACACCAAGAGCTGGGCCTCTGACGTCCACCAAAGAAAGCTGTGCTAGTAGAAACGTACAAAAGGTTCTGGGCAATGAGGCCAACTGAGGAGCGCATGTACTACTGGGAACCTATCAGGAAGAATGGTGTTCAGGTTGCCAGCCTTAGCCTTGGCACCAGACTGGTCTAGACGTATGTAAGTGACAAAGGAGGTGGTTTGTCTACCTGAAAATACTTGGTATTGTTAGAAAGGACGGAGTGCCATGCTGGACAAAGGCTATCTAGTCCAGTTTTTACTATTTTCCTCGAACTTAGTAAGACTTCAGTAATATAAACAAAGAACTGTTTGAAGAGCCAAGCGCCCTATCCATTAAGTTATCTTGTGGTTTTCAGCCCTAAGCCAACCAATTCTATAGAATATCTAAAGCGGGGAGAACCTAAATTTTACAGGTCAATGTAAACTTGGGCCAGTGTGTTTTAAACCACTTGCCAAAAATTAGAGGTAACTCGGAAACCAAGCGTAACTATGTTACAAAGTCATAAGGTCCGTGAGTTTTGTAGAATTACAGAACAAAGGGCTAGACTTATCACTCAGTAGCACACACCTGCCTGGCATGTACAGGGCCCTAGGCTTCATTCCCCAACACCCCCATTGCAAGAGAAAAGAAATTGTATATAAAACAAGGTTGGGGCTAAGACTTGACCAGAAAACATAGTCACTGAGAACAACTCATTTGTGATTAGCCAAAGCTGAGGCATGAACTTGTATTTATGGAGCAGGGGCTACTGGGATTCAGCCTTCACTCTGGCCCTTGAAAGACTGTTTTAGCATTAACAGAAAAGGCGGAAACAGCCACAAACTACAACCTCTCTTCCAAATTCTCTACTTTTGAAAAACTACAAATTAAAGTGGTAGGCAAAGCTGGAGAGCAGGGAAATCAGGTCTGCGGTAGGCCTGACCCATGCAAGGACAAACCACACCTCTCCAGATGAAGGCCAGTGATCAAAGGTTGGAAGGGAAAGCTAAAGTACAAACACCCTAACTACACTAAGAACTCAAGAGATCTTACAACCGCAGCCCATCAGAAATTAATACCGTTCCTTAAGGACGAGACCTGGGAGCAGCTCATTAATCACTTACCTTCCTGCCACACACTTGTGTCCGTACAACTATGTGAACGTTTCACCTGTCTACTCAGAGTATCTGCTCTTAGAGATTTGCACACATTTAGGTCTTTACGCCCAACAGCTGTCACCAACAGAGGTGTAAACAGCCAAGGTAAGTCACAGTTTCCAAATGTTGTCACAGCAGCTTGTCTGCCAAAACCAGGGGTAACAAAAACAACCAATGGAGGGAACTGACCAGACTCTCACAAAGCTTCTGAAACTAGGGATGACCGGGGAGATGTTTTAGTCCGTAAAGTGCCTGACGTAGAAGCCAGAGGAACTGAGTTTGGCTCAAACCCCAGCACTCACATAAAAAGCTGGACGAGCTGCCTGGAGAGATGAGCTCACAAGGACCTGTAACTGTAGCTCCAGGCGATTTGACACCCCCTGCTGGCCTCTGGTCACCCACGGGTACAGATTACACACTTGGTTGTTATGGAATGAATATATCTGTACGTCCTCTCCCAGGAGTTTTTTGGGATGTAGAGGCAGGTGGGTCTGTAGAGTTCAATGGCCAGCCAGAGCAGCTGAATTAAGAGACCTTATTTCAAAAGAATATACAGAATGATAAGCATTGAACATCAAACATCTGGCCTCCAGTGTGTGCATACTACATACACCACACATACATCTAAGGACGAAATTGCAGTATGACTTGTACATGGGGAAGGAGGCTCAGGAAAATCAAAATACCAAGGTCTGTAATTCTAAGGTAAAGAAACAGGTTGTCAAGCCTGTACACCCCAAAAAGCTTCTACTGATCTTAACATTCCTTGCTACACAGAATATCCTATAGTCCACTACTGTTGTAGACAAAGCTGTCAAGTGACAGATGGCGCCTCACAAAGCCTATTAGTAGCATATCCTATCAGCCTATTAAGAATAGCATAACTGCTTTGTTCACGGTAATGAGAATACACCTAAATTTCCCCGCCTGGCTTCTAGATAGTCAATCAACATCATCTTGTGTATCTCCCTGAATTAACAATTACTCAGCTAAAAAGCAGTACTCTCGGTTGTTCCTAGAAGTAGATAAACTACTCAGGGTGTGGCAGAAAGGCTTCTTAACAGTGTTCTTTCTCCCAGCCAGTACGTGGCCTTCAGGTCCCCTGCTACAGACAACTATAGGTGCTGGTCAGAACCACCGAGTTCATTTGAAACTTTCACCTGTAATGCCATATCCAAACCCTGGCTACTCTGATATGGAATGTGGTCCAGCTACATTAGCCTCCCCTAAGTAAGAATCCATTTAAATGCAAAAATCAAACCCTGCTTCAGATATGCTGAGTCAGAAAATATTTTTAACAAGATCTCCTGGTATGAACCTTGAACTAACCATTTTGAGAGTCCAATCCATTGCTTGAGACAGATATTCCAGAGCCCAGCATGTTCTAGGTTCCAATCTCAAAGGACAGAACAATTCACCCACTAGTGATTTACGGCGTCACGGGACATTTAAAGCAGAGTATGCCCCCAAATTGAGCTAAATTGTACAGAGAGATGAACGTTGCATTTCAGCTTTGTCATTTATAAGAGAAACAAACTCAAAAGTTTTTCTGGGTCTGAAGCGGGTATTAAGTTTCACCAGAAACCACCTTTCCCCCACGCCACCCCCACCCCCCAGTTTTATTTTTATCCTATGTCTTAGCTTACTCTGACACTGTCTAGCTATGTAACCCTACATGGAGACCCCTTAAAGCCCTATCTTGTTTGATAGACCAACATGGGCAGTGATCGTTTCCACAACTGACAGTTGTGAATCCGCTTCAGCCTACACTCGGGTCAGAGCAGGGCCAGTCACCTTGTGACTGAAAAGTCCCCAATCTTGCCTGGTCAGTCATCGTCCAGCAAGCGCACGGATCAAAACGGCAAAGGCCCTCAGGACATTGGCAGTCACATCCTGAGGAACCAGTAGCCAGCGGCTGCCATCCCCTCTGGCTGGCCTTGCCCGTTGCTATAGAGTTCAGAATGCTGGCAAGCACTGTGTTCAGTCTTCGTTTCCATGGTAAATCATGCTTTATCTACTCCCAAGGCAGATTTGGTCCTAACCCCTAAAGACAAGTAACAATAAGAAGATGAAGGCAAGAATTCTAAAGGGGCTTAGAGAACATCAAAAGGTGGGAAGGGGCAAGAGAATTGAGAAGGACATTGCCTGTGCGATCGTTTCTGGTTTAAATTTAAGTCTAGTGCGATCATCTTCCTTTACTCTTTTGTCCATGGCTGCAGTTACCTGTGGTCAACAATCCAAAAATATCAAAAGGGAGGGGCTGGAGAGATGGCTCAGTGGTTAAGAGCATTGTCTGCTCTTCCAAAGGTCCTGAGTTCAATTCCCGGCAACCACATGGTGGCTCACAACCATCTGTAAAGAGGTCTGGTGCCCCTTCTGGCCAGCAGACATACACACAAGACAGAGTATTGTATACATAATAAATAAATAAATATTAAAAAAAAGATAGAAGAGAGGTAATACCATGTGCCAGAACGCGGATTAATAGAAATGGGTTAATTTATTAAAAAAAAGGGAAATACCAAAATAAGCAATTTATTTTTTCAACTGAATATTCTGAGCAACATGATAGAATCACATGTAGCTCCGTGTGTGTGGATGAATATATATATATATACTTTCCATGGTGCTGAGACCACATAATACCCATGCTGTCTGACATCGGCAACAGAGCTGCAGCATTTGTGTTCAACACTTTTACTTAACAGAGCGAAGCTGACAATTTAGATGCTGTCACAGAAAAGCCAGAGATGCTAGAACTTCCGGGGGGGGGGGGTTACTACAATTAGTGACGTCACGGTAGAAACACCTGTGCCAAGCTCTGCAAAGGGGAAAGATGGTGTTCGTTTACTGTTGCACCTCCAGCGGGAAGGTCCAGCCACAGTAGCTACCTGATTCGGGTATCGGGTATCTTCAAGACAAACGACACACTGTTCTGAGATTGTTCTGCCGTTCGGGGTTTTAATTCTCACTAGTCAAAGTAGCCATCATGCTAGATCGTTGAGTGAGGCAGACTTGTGGCCCTAGGCCAATTTTTTGCATGATAAACACATGGACATAGGAGATGCAGTATTTCGTAAACAGCTCTCATGTTGGTCCATAAAGTCGGCTAAAGACGTGACAGCTACATTCCCAAATTAGTGAACTGTAAATTGGGAGGTGAAATGCCACTCCTCCATCCGACTGCCTGTCCTCTAGAGCTAAACCCCAAGCATCACTTCCACTATTAACTCTCAGGAGAGAGATTCCCACTTCAAGACTCCCACATATCACCCAGACTCTACACTTCCTACATCAAAGTAAGATACACTACCTGTGTGCTTCCCCGAGATCGACAGTTACTAACAGTGGGAGAGAAGTCCTCTCCTTCAGCCATTCCCTTAGTGCCTGAGTGCGCATCTCTCTCGGCTGGGACCGAACCTGTCACAACTAAATGCAGCCTCCTTGCCTGTGGGATGAGCATATAGCAGAACAGCGGACGCTGTGGCCTGGTCCTGCCCTCAGGCCCAGTATCCTCTCAAGTGCTTCCAGAATATGCTATTGTTCTCAAGGAAACAGCAGTAACAAACTCTGGGGATCACATGGGTCAACATCCTCCTGGCTTTATTACAAGGTCAGTCTGCTGGAGCAGGAAAAGGCAGTGACCAGGAAGGCTGCATCCACAGGCTCATCCTTATGCAGTGTCTCAGTGTGTGGGGGAGGAAACTACAGGAAAGGAAGAGAACAAGAACACACATTCTCCACACACTCTTGGAGGTCGGGCAG